CTGGTCCATTATTCAGCAATATGTAGTATAATATGTAGTAAAGAGTTGAGATGGAAGTATGGAGATGATTGGTCATTAGCTATTCACGAGGTACTCGGAAATGCAGAATGCCCTGATTTCTCAGCATTGTCAAGCCTAATAACAAGGCACGAAAGAGAAACATGCCACTTTAAGTCCTAATTAAATTCTAATAAAAAACTCGGGAGCAATTAAACGAGTTTTTTTATATATCAAACTTCATTAGTACAAACTGTTTCGATCCAAAAATATTGGAAATCCCACTTTCCCATATTTTATTCTATCTGAAAAATAACTATGAGGCAGCTGCAGCTTGCACATTTTATTTCTACCAGAATTACTGAAGTTGCAATTATAAAAGTAGGAAATTATAGCCTTGGTAAAAGTCACAAGCAATCGCGCACAAGGATCTTTGTAACAAGTTCAAACTCAACAAGTCAAAATTGTGTCAACTAAAACCGAAAGCCATCAAAAAACTTGTCTCATCGATTGTGCATTGCAACTTTCACCAGGGACAAATTTAAGCAAATAATAATTAATAATTGCATGCCACTCACTACTATCTCTTTAATTGCGAAATTATTAAGGTTAAGGGCACTGTTTATATTCCAGGAAGTACTATGTATGGAGTTATGTAGTAAGATATAGAAACAACGTGGCTGCAACAACTAACCCTCACAAATTACAAGTTTGGGTGTCTGTACCACATAACAAACGAAGATTACTGCGCTTCTATCGTCTTAATTAACGTAATGAGAAATAAATCGATATCTGGCTGGATACATCGATAAGAAGAAGAAAATAAATTAATATCTTGGCCAACAAACATACCCGACCTCGCCCAAACTGTGAACTCATCATCCACTCAGTAATTAATAAGGCAATCAAAGAGAACCAATGAGGATTCAGATTAATCTACAACTTGCACAACTCGGACCACATTATGGTCACTAATTTAGTGATATACCACAAGGCCAAGGTGAAAGGTCTAGTTAATCTCACCCCTTAAAACATGTACCACCAGCAGCCAACCATATAAATCATAAATCATCACAATACTTATATATTAAAAGAAACACATATAAAAACTTGGGAACAAGATCTCGCCGTATTTTTCGCCTCCCTTTTTGCCCTACCTCCAATCATGGAAAGTAATAAGAGAGCCGTTTTGTAAGCCGTGTCAGATTTCTCCTTGGAAAGGAACGTTCTCAGACTGCAAAGTGAAATCGAACGGGCTTTCATGAGACCGTCACTTTCACTCAATTGATCTGAGGAGTGAGTATTGTTGGCTTGGTTGTGGTGGTGTTAAATCTCTCTCCTTTCTCCTCTCTTCAACGTCGTACGAATTACATTAGTCAAGTTTTAGCTATTTGCTCACTCACTCGGAACACACAAGAGTTTAAGTTTGACAACAATCAAACATTTTATCCGTTTACGTAAAGCTCCACCACTCGATCCTGTCAACTTGTATTTTGACACTATTTATTCGCCTTCTTACCCAATCAACGTCACCTCGAGAACACCACTTTACACCGGCACAAGAATATTAATTTAATGCCAGAAGCACACACACGAACCGTTCCTACTTATGAAAAAGGCTATGTGTATACTAAACCTTTGACTTAATTGCCATTCAATTTCTTTCTAAAATAGTTTGTATATTAAATAAATTTATTGAGTCATGTGAAGCCAGATTACACCTGAATCACATGCTTGCCAACGATTAGTCCACATGCTTAGCCCAGTCTGACAAATTTAATTTTATCGCTGTTTGAAGAACATGACTTTTCCAATAAGTTAAGATAACATACATTTAAACCCCTACGCAGATATGTAAACATAACCTACTGTATGAGTGCTTATTTAAATTGCTATATAGCACCATGAGATGCACTACCTACTATTTTGTGCTGTCTGTTGTGGTTGGTATACTTACGTCCCATTAAGTCCATGGAAGCTGATAAATCGTTATAAATGCTGAACTGCAAGTGATATCACACTGGGACATACAGCGTCTGCTGATATGCTAACCATGAATGGCTCGACAGGTGATTCAAACACTGAGGTGTATAATTTAGGCTATTAGCTTAGTTAGTTAGTGAGCCTTGTTTTGGAACCATTTTGTTCTGCTGACTAATCGACACCTACTCCTGCAAGCATATCCATCACGATATTATTTACAGGTGTTTGTTTAGAACAACTTTTGCGTGCGTCACACATTTTTAATGTTGACAGTAATAATGAAAATTACTTCACTACTAAAATTCTGCCAATGCAGAATAAAACATGTACATGGAAATCGGTCAAAGTACCACTTGTGTATTTATGTATGTACATCGAATCCAAAATAGGCATGCTCTCATGGATGATGTCGTCATGAACAGCTTACGTATGTATATTTACTTATTACTCAACATGAATTTAGACATGTTGGTAGTTGTATGCTGGGGCTTTCAAATTAGGCGTTTACTTATGAAAAATTTAACGTTAAAGTTATTTCCCAACATTAGATTATTAGACAGCTAAGTAACTAACCTGTATTTATGGACACTGCTTCAAACGCCACATTAACCAGGATGGCAATCTAATTAACTAATGAAACAGGAAATGGCATTCCGTTTTGTTTTGTATTTTATGCCCTTGTGGATTGTTTACCCGAGACAAACACTTGGCTTTGGAAATAAAAACTTTAGCTCAAGACGAGTTGCTCAGATAATTGTGCTGTCTGAACAACGTGAGAATAATTATAGGAACCCATAGGCGCAACCGTTGGGAAGCCTGAGGGACAATGTCCTCACTGAAAAACTAGAATTTTAACATTGGACTTATAGACAAACGGTTGATGGTATTGAAAAAATCGTCCATAAGTCCAATGTTAATGTCCCCCCAGTGATTAGGCCAACCATGTATAATACAACCGTGTATTGAATGAACTCTTGCTTGTCACGTTTGCTTTTGCATAAATTTTAAAAGCAGTTCACTTTTCCGTGAAATTTAACTTTCCAGAAAGAAAACGCGAACGGAGCAGCGAAATTTTGTCAACAAACTGTGGAGGAAATTAAATGGTACCGACAAAGAAATGGTTTAAACATACATAGACCGACCTCCACTTTGTGAGTGGGTTGGGTATACAAAAAAGCAATATTCTTTATGGCGACACAGCTTATAAACTTGTGTCCCCGGACATTTCTCTAGATTAAATAACGACCGATTTTGCAATTGACACACAAAACTCCATTACACAAATAATGCTTTGCTGGATGTATTGCTGTATAAAAACCGAATAAGCCTGTGTTTAACCCAATATAAGAAAAAATACTTATAATTGGGCGTGTAATACCATAATAAATGTCATAAATGTCCATAAATGTCCTTCTGCTACTCTAAAAGATAATGGAATGAAAATGCATATTGCATGCATTTAAATAAGAGTCCAATTTTTAGTTGTCTTAATACTGATAAAATCGATAATGCCCCTGATAATATCATCAAAATAAAAACCAGCCACTACTTCCACCTCTCCAGAGAAAGTTTACACAATAAATGACACACTCCATTGCAAGTTGCGGAAAATTGCATACAGTGACAGCAATAAGTGTAGTATGAATAATGTTCAGATTTGGGTCGTTTTACTACAATTATCACCAGCCAATGTGTTCTGCTGGACGATAAGGAAAGTGTAGCCTACTACACTTGACCCAATATTCATTCATCATTTTGATTGTGGGATCATTATTATTTATTTGGCTAGTTAGGATATTATGAACACAAGAAGAACTTCGCTTCTTCGAAACACATAATTTAACTAAATAAATATTTGACCAAAATCAAATCATACAAAAATAAATAAAACAAAAATAAAATAAAACAAACGACCTACCGAGCCTGAAGTAGTCACCTCTCTTTACTCATCAATCATTTTATCCCACCCAACTTATAAAATGAAACATTTCCACAACATTATAACTTTAAAAACAACACAATTTAATCAACTAATTTAAGGCAGGTTTATTAAAACTATGTAGTAAATAAAATCCAGTCCTCCAGTCGTGCATATTCAATACAATATTTAAAACGTTGTCTTTGTAACTGTCATTATTATACGAAATCAGCAGGCAGCTAGAGTGAGGAGTGAGTGAGTTTTTTCCTCGTTGCCGAAATCAACGGTTACGTAACATAAAAAGTTATGGTTGCTAAAAGAAGAAACTTGTGCAAAAAACTTGGACATAATAATGTTCCAGCAAAATACGAAGGAGGGCCAACTCACACCACCACAAAATAAGGCCATGACAGCCTACATTTAAACGTAATGACTGACTGTGGAAGTATGTCTAATTAGCAAAAATACTCTGCTGCCTGCCTGCCTAATAAGTAAGTAAGGCAAACCTTGACTAAACGAAAACTAAATAAATGAGCACATGCAATTCGCCATCATCACCATCATCGACACTGGTGATGAATTTGCAGGAAATCTGCGGCGAGATTTTACTTCTGCATGTATAAATCAAAAGTTTCGATCTTGGCTAAATAACCAATGAAAGAAGGTGAAGAAGCGTATTTAACAGACTGATGATGCGTGGGTGAGATGAGATGTTTTAAGTAATCACTGCTTCATGGTTTTATATTTAATAAACATACATAAGTCTTGAGCTTGCTAATGGTCAAGTAATACACATAATTTGTGGCAATGTGGCATGCAAAAACATTAAGCATAAACGACAGTATTTTTCTTATTATGCATAGTATTATGCATTATCAGAAAAATTTGCAAAAATTCTTTGCGTGTTTTTTTTGTACAAAATGATGCAGTTCCTACTGGAATTACTTTCTCTCCTCATGACATGCATTCCACAGAAGTGTTGTAGAATAGCTTTTAGAGAACATAGTTTTGGGGAAATTTGCAATGTGAAATATTTCTTTAATATCATGCGAAAGTCTCTTCACGTTTCCCCGTCGTGTTGTCTCTAATAAATGTGCAACAAGAAGAGTTGAGCTTTTTGACACATCCCCCAATATAGATTTTGCATTCGCTATTACATATGCATTGGAATTTGGTGGAATAATCTCAAATTCCAGGCTGGAATTTCCAGTAGTAATAAACTAAACCAATAATCTAAATTGTAATTTTATAACCTTAGAATAATAGTGAACAGTAGTGCTTTTTTAGATTGGACGACTTAAATTATTTGGTATTTTGATTGAATCATAAAGAAGAGGTAGGTGATTTGATTTAGATTCGTAGTATTCGTTTGTATATAGTTCGTAGAGAACAGTTGGTTGATAGCACAATTAGATATTAAAATATGCTCTAGTTTTTTACTTGTGGTGGGAGGATTTATGCCTGAACTCGTTACTAAATGTCCAACCGGCTTCAAACTTATTTAAGGTTAATTGTAAACATTACTTCAAACCAGAACAATTTCTGTCAAATGGATACAATAAAATTAAGAAATATTGATTGCAAAGTAATCTAATATTGATGATAGTAGCCTGTCTATTTTACTAACTTATACCAAAATTGTACTTGATTTACTTCCACACCCAATAAGTAAATGAAAAGTATTTTTTAATAGGTCACCTTACCTTGTATCTGTTTTGAGTTTTGATTATTGAAGTAGTTAGAAATCTGAAACCGGACATAATTTCGAATTTTTTTTAACAATGTATAGAATTTTCTCAACAAATTGATATTAACCACAAAAAACTATCTCACGAAGTTGACAGTGTACGGTGAATTCATTACCTGTGTTCTGTTCGCTCTAATAATGTTATCGGCACGTTAAATTTTGAAGTTTCGATTTATATACAATAATTGAATTCGAAAATTGATTAACTGTTTATCCTAATTTTCAGACTCTCCGAGAAGATCAGAAATCCAGCTGATTTGATTTTATGACTTTGCTATGGAATCGTCATTGGTGATTTGTTATTCATGCATCAATGTGTCATGATTTTACAGGTGCCAAAAATCTCAAGTTAATCTTACACCACCCATATTTTGACATTAGGAATCACAAATATATATTCATAAATTACAGGATGTCGACATGGGTTGCTGTTTTTGTTAGAAATGACTTATTCTAACCTCTGTGATTTTACTGAACAAAATAACAAGGGCTTCTCCTCACATATATGACAACTGGTCATGATGGAGTGGGGTCGGTCAAGCGCACCAATGGGCGATGCGCACTTTGGGGTCACGTTCTACACTTCCAGCCAACGTCAGGATACATGTGGCACCAACGGCCTTCCCGTTACGCCCAATAGTATTAGAATCCTGGGGAGATCCCAGTACCTCAAGGCACTCGCCCACCCAAACCTCTCCACCTACGTGGACATTATTAGGGGGAAAAGTGGTATTTCACAATAAGTAACTTTATTATCATCAAATAGGCGTTAAAATGAGTATGAAAAATATTTCAGAGAGAGTAATAATAGTTGCGGAATACTATGAACAAAATATTCACAAATTGCGCAAGTTGGAAGGAGAAATTGACTTTCAATTAGCTAACAAAAGGGCGTTAGAAATAGCAGCAAATGTTTTATCTGGATTAACATATCTAAACCATCATGGGTAATAATATTATAAAAATGCAATAAAATTCTCGTGGCGAAAGGCAAAATAAATCAATTCGAAATCTAATAGGATCGTGGTTCGAAATATTTCTCCGGAAACGATTTTAGTCTGTCCAGACGGTTCAGTCAAGCTCTTCAATTATGGCTTGTACCACATGACCAATTGTGGAAAATATGTCGCATTTCCTATCGGACATCCGAAATATACGGCTCCAGAAGTGCTCCGATCAGGAATGAAAACAGGACACAAATTATGTTCGTGTGACGTTTGGTCGCTTGGGATCGTTTTGATTGAGTTTTTAACGAGGACAGAACTCTGGACCGGTTTTCGACTACCCAATCTAATCAAGAAGATCTTAGATTTAGGAAATTCTATCAGTATTTTAGACACTATTCTGGAACAACATGGTTTATCAAACTTACATGATGTATGCTAAATGGAATTTATTTATTTTATTTTAAATTATACATTATTCATAATCGGTAATAATTTTTTAGGAAATTAGCTACCCAGTTAGAAGACTAATTGAAAAATGTCTGGAAATTGACCCAATCAAAAGGGAATGGCCTGAACAATTATTGAAAGACAATACAATTTTTTCTACACAAAATGACAATGAAACAGGTTGTGCCGAGAATGGAATCCAACAAAAAAAATGTCCCGATTACCCAACAGGATATTACGCAGACAAGTTCCTACGTTCCTCTAAATTACTTGCCTTGGATGGAATTCAAAACATTGCTGAGTTGGATGTATCAAATCTGGAACAATTTGGAAGAATCCTACCAACTAATCCTTTAACTGAAAGAAATATGAACGAAGTTTATTATTTGTGGCAACGAGCGGGTGGAGATGTAATGGCAGAGTTGAAACGCCAAGGTTTAACAAGGAAAAAACCTGCTGTGTTATCTTTACCTCAGTAATTTTTAATACAATTATTATTATTGCCTTTAATCGAAACTAATTCGTATTAATTTATTTTCTACAGCTTGATGACTCTGGAAGGTTTGACGCACGGAAAGACGAAAGAACGTGGTCTCCTGTTGGACTCTACGGTCGTCATCCTCCCACTGCACGAGTTAAAGAAAAGGCTCAATGATATTCCTCCGTCGGATTTCTATCCACTCGTTGAATTTTCAATGTAAACTAAATCAAAATTTCATTGGTTAAGACAAATCAACTATTAAAGTTCAACTACTTTTCGTTATTTTATTCTAGACCACACTTGAAATCTGACATTTCAGCGAACAAGGAGTGCGCCGGACTTCCACTAATTATTAGAGAGAGGGACATAGAGTACCAATTTCATAGAATTATATTGTTTGATAGATTACTGAAGGTTAGGAAAAATATAAATACCGCTTGTATATACATAAAAGTGTGAAAAATATGATTGATTAGAATTTATAAATTAACAGGGTTATCCGTACACGAAAAGTAGAATTTATAAGGAATCACTTCAGGACATTCCACCCTATTTCAGAGCACAAGTGTGGTCTTGTTTACTGGACATTAGGGGTGACATTGAGCATATTTATGATTGCATTGATAAGGAAACTGCAACATCAACGGATCGCCAGGTATTTTAACACATTTTGCTGTACCAGTTTCAGTGTAGATGTTTTTTAAATATTTGATTTCATAGATCGAAGTGGATATTCCACGATGCCACCAGTACGACGAATTGCTATCAAGTCCTGCAGGACATGACAAATTTAAACGTGTTCTCAAAGCGTGGGTTGTGAGCAACAAGGAATATGTATATTGGCAAGGACTGGACTCTTTATGTGCTCCATTCCTTAACCTTAATTTTAACAATGAAGGTACAATCCGTTTTCTAATTTGAGAGTTTTAACTACAGAACATACTTAAATATTATATTATAAATTATTCGGTTAAAGTTACTCGAATTGACTATGCTTTTGTATTTTTTAGCAATGGCATATGCGTGCTTATCTGCCTTCATCCCTAAATATTTGTACAATTTCTTTCTGAAAGATAATGCTGTTATAATTCAAGAGTTTCTTTGTAAATTTTCACAACTAATTGCCTTCCACGACCCTGAGCTTACAAATCATTTGGATTCCATTGGATTTATTCCAGAACTTTACGCCATTCCTTGGTTTTTAACAATGTTTTCACGTAAGTTCACTGTGACATAGATACAAATATAACTTATAGTTTTCAATACACCTTGCTTAATTGTAGACGTGTTTCCACTCCACAAAATCTTCCACTTATGGGACAAGTTACTTCTCGGCGACTCTTCATTTTCACTATGCATCGGCCTTGCAATTTTATATCAGTTGCGTGAATCTCTTCTAAGTTCTGGATTTAATGAATGTATTCTTCTCTTCTCTGATATGCCAGGTAATGATTTACGAAATGTACGTACGGTAACTCTTTTATGCTGAAAGGAAAAAGTAAAGTAATTTAACTTTTCATACAGAAATCAGCATTGAAAAATGTGTACAAGACTCTGTAGAAATATATTGTAGCACCCCAAAAAGTGCCATTCGCCGAAAGAATGACCCGCCTGTCCATTACGCTTCTTCGTATTCGGATTCCAAAATGTATTCAAAAGGTGGGGGAAGCAGCAGCAGCTTTAAAGACAATGGGAACAGGCCGTTCGCAATTTCAAGAAATAATACCAACCATTATAATGTCCTTGATGCTTTGGTGAGTCGTTATGTACAACTAACTCAACTCAAATAAAAAGAATAGTATCCGAATAATGGCATAATTTAATTTCAGAAAATGGACCCAATTCCTCTTCATGAGTTGAAGCTAGAAAAATGTGCTCGCATTAGTGGTGATGATTTATTGAACCTGCTAGATTTGAACAGAACAAAGTTTCAAAAGCCAAAAATTATTGTCATTGATGTTCGGAACCATGAAGAGTAAGTTTAAAGTTGGCTATACTATATTGGGAAGATCAACATTTACATTACTGTTTGTTGTCAGCTATAATCGTGGTGCTATTCCTGGAAGTATAAATATTCCTTACTCAACGGCATTTTCTACGCAGGACGGTTCTCTTTTGCCGTCATCAGAAACAAACTCTCTCAATGCAAATCGAGGTAAAATAATTGCAGTGGTAGGAAATCGGGGAGATTCTGCTGTCAAGGTACGCGTGGTGGATCTATATACATTGATATAATTTTGTCACCTGTCGCAATTCGTATCAATAACTTTGCTTTTAATTTACAGTTTGCGGAAGGAATCCTCAGACTGGGTTACCCTAGGGTGTGTGTACTACATCGTGGAATTGACATTTTCAGGACTTCCAATCTTCTTGTAGTCCCTGCGTCTATTTAAAATAAATTTTAAATGCAATATATGTGATTCTGCTCCTAATGATTCGCAAGTCTAGTCTAAATTTTTTCATTGGAATATATTGTGAATAATTTATACGCGAGTCGTAAATAATTGTAAATGCCAGTCATCATAATACATATATGCAATCCACAATAAACAAATTAGATCTTATTTCCCATTTTATACTACTCTAACATGGTAACATTTTGAACACGATAAATTTGGTGGGTGATTAGGATAGGATACGAACAATCAAATGATGTACAATATAAAAAGTATTAAATATAAAAGCTTTTATAAATGTATGAAAAAAATTATTCTTCAAATCTCAATTTTGAAAACGACAATGGTTTCTTGATATTAATCAAAGAAGCGGACGAAGAAGGAGTATCTGAGAATGAGATCCTGGAAAGGCTAGAAACAGCCCCTTGACTATCTGAATCTCCTTTGAAGGAGACGCTCAACCCACGTCTTCCAGAGGATGATTGATAGGGACCACTAGAAATTACTGACTGACTTTGGTTGGCAGTGTAACGTTTGTATATGCATGAAGTACGAGGTTTCGTTGCTTCAGACAATTTAGCATCCAACTGGCTAATCTTGCCTTGAAGTTCCATGTTGGAGGACGTAATTTTAGTTATTGTGAGATCCAGTTGCTTAATATTTTCATGCAATTTCGCAATTATCAAGTCTCGTTTTTGTATAACTTGAAGCAATTCCGCTGTAGGATGTCCGGAAAGTTTAAGTGTTTCCTCTAAAATGTCGAGTTCTTGCTTTAGATTAACATTCCTGTCCCGATTAGCGAACAGCTCTTTTTTCTGTTCAGAATTTATGTGCTCCAACTCCAGAACCCTGCGAAAATATAACAATCTGTTTATTTAAAAAGGTTTTAATTAATAAAATAATAAACTTGGTAATTAACCTCCTTGCCAGTTTGAGACTTTGCTCCAATCTGCGTTTTAAATTACAAGGAATGCTGGACCTATATCCATATGCGGCTAAAATTTGTTCAGCGTCTTCTTCATCTGGGAATAAATGAAAAATAAATTACAAGATGAAATTATAAACATGTGAACCACTACAGTCGATTATACTTAAAATCGTAATTATTACTAGGTAAGGTTGCAGCTTGAACCACGACATTATCCAATTCAGCTTCTAATTTATCATAAGTTTCTAATCTAGTAGTTTTTTCTTGTAGTCGTACAGTGAGAGATGATATTTTTTCTGCAGAGCTGGATTGGGAGTTTGCAAATTCCTCTCTTAGCACCTATTTATCACATGAAAAATAATTTCATTGTTTAATAAAAAAAATATATATATATTCGTTAAGCATAAGTTTTGTAAAATTGACATATATGCATACATCTAGTTTTTCAGCTAATCGTTCCTTCTCAAGAAGCGTGTCTTTGTACTTTTCGTTTACTTCAGAATATAGAATCGAAAGGCGTTCTAATTCGAATTTTTTCAATTTTAGCTCAGATTGAAGCTCAGACATTTGGCATTTGTCCGACAACTTGAGATGATTCAACCTAGAAATTAAATAATGGAATGTATTATTATCATATTGATCTATGTGTATATATTATTAAGTAGCTTCAGCTACTTTATGTGAAGACTTTGTCTGTCTGTCTGTCTGTCTGTCTGTCTGTCTGTCTGCCTGTCAGCAGGATATCAGGAGAACGGATCGAGATAATCGAAATCGGTTTTCGCCATCATACATAGGACCCCAGGGGGAGGATCCTATCAACTTTTGGGGGCAACCGGACCACACCCCCTTTGGCGACAGGGGGTGTGGTCGGGGCAAAATGAGATTTTTAGTGCAATTTAATCTATAGGTGAAATAGAGTAAAATTATGTGTTCCGGAGTTGTGCCACACCCCCTCGGCGCCAGGGGGTGTGGTTGGGGCAAAATGAGATTTTTAGCGCAATTTAATCTATGGGTAAAATTAGGTGAAATTGAGTGAAATTAAATGAAATTAAGTGAAATTAAGTGAAATTAAGTGCTTCCCCGATTGTGCCACACCCCCTCGGCCCCAGGGGGTGTGGTTGGGGCAAAATGAGATTTTTAGTGCAATTTATTCTATGGGTAAAATTAAGTGAAATTGAGTGAAATTAAATGAAATTAAGTGAAATTGAGTGTTTCCCCGATTTTGCCGCACCCCTTCGGCGCCAGCGGGTGTGGTGGGGGCAAAATGAGATTTTTAGTGCAATTTAATCTATAGGTGAAATAGAGTAAAATTATGTGTTCCGGAGTTGTGCCACACCCCCTAGGCGCCAGGGGTGTGGTTGGGGCAAAATGAGATTTTTATAAAAAATTAATCTATAGATGAAATAGAGTGAAATTAAGTGTTCCCGAGTTGTTCCACACCCCCTCGTCGCCAGGGGGTGTGGTCGGGGCAAAATGAGATTTTTACAAAAAATTAATCTATAGGTGAAATAGAGTGAAATTAAGTGTTCCCGAGTTGTGGTGGGACCGTTTGGGGTGAAGTACGTCTGAAGCTACTTCCGTATGCGCGTTTGCGACGGTTTATTAGTTATTTAAGTTATTCATAAAGTGATATATTGTACTCTATAAGCAACTGGTGGTACTTCTTTTCCACCTCATTGAGTTTTAGCTGCATATCGTCTCGGTTCTTTTCGAGGTGGTCCCTTTCACTGGATAATCTGAAATATTGTACATATTTAGTTAACCAGTAAAAAAAGAATTGAATACATTACGAAAGATTACCGTTTTGCCAAGTCCAGTGATTGTTGAAGTCTCAATTTCGCATCAACTGAGATATTCCCATATCCAAAGTTGAATAGAATCCCTTCCACATCAGTATCATTTACTGCAGTGTCTGTTTAAAATTAATAAATGCACGTGTATACTACTTCTTTTCAATTTTACAAAAATAATTGTGTTAGTAAATACCAGAAACAGGCAAATCAGGAAATAAAACGTGATCAATTTTTGTTTGTATTTTTTCATACATTTCCAACTTCAAAGTTTTTTCGTGAAGTGACATATTGAGATTACAAATTTCTTGATCAGAGACCTTCCTTAATGCGCTCAGTTTTTCTGTTAAAGACTATTAAAGCAATACAAAATTTAGAATATTGAAGTACAAGCAAGCTGGCCAACAAATTCATACCTTGACTTTAACACAAGCATCCGTCTTCTCTTTTAGATTTGTTTTTAATTGACTTTGCAAGCTTTTGTTTTGTTGCTGTGATTGCTTTAATTCATACGACTTTAATTTTAATTCAGATTCTAACGCTGAAACCTGAGTCACTTGAGTTACTCGAATTTCATTTACTCTGGAAAAATAAATTATTAATAGCAACATTAATAAATGGTTCAAAATATTTTACCAGATTATTCATGATTCACATACTCTTGTAACAAATCATTGTATCTATCTTCTAAATTTCGGTTTTTCATAGAACTACGTCTATCACCAGCACCTATATGACATTATAATAACAATGACTGTCTGTTCATCGTTTTGAATTTTTGTATGAGTAGAATTATTGCATACCACTTTGCTCCCCAAACTTTGTCTGGTGAGCATGTCTCCCCCTTGAACTTTTGTTTCCGGTTAGTTCCATAAACTTTGGCCCAGCAGCATTAACCACATCGCTGGATGAGATCGTTGATTCAGTTATAGTAAGATCTGTTGGCACGGTTGACGAGTGGAAATCTCTTTCTGGAATCTCATCAGCCATCATTTCAGTTTAAGTAAGGCTTGACTATGTTACATATCTTGACTAGACGACTCTCCAAAGGTAACTTCTTTACATGATTTCATCAAACTCTGACTTGCTTTGGACACACTTCAAACTTTGCATAGGAATGACCAAAGTGCAACCAAATGAGATCTGAAACACCAAATAAACAAAAAAATATTTGAATGCTAAGAGACCTTGCACACAGCAATCTAGTCAATCTGATTGCCTAGAAGGGCGTAGGAGGGAAGATATCTTGATAGGATGATGCTTGATTATAGCATGGGGGAATATATCCCAGAGGGTCAAAATTCGTCATCACCTCTAATCGATCATGCCTTGCTCACGGTCACTGACATGAATATATTACTATTATTTTCTACTACAAAACTATGAATCTATCAAGATCAAATTTGCATGAGTATAATATCATTCATTCGCTTTAACTTCAAAATCAAATAACAAAACATATAATTATCTCCTTAATTTTATTCTGCACTGTACCCTTGAAAACCTTACCTTTGACTTCTCTGCCCACTCCACGCTCCCCAAGGGAACACCCACCAGTTGTTAAATCAAGGTAAACACTTCATTACCATAACATGAAATTAAAGCAAGCTCTAAAGTAGACACGTTAAATAATTACGTGTTCTTTGCACTTTGTTGATGTTGTTTTTCTTTTAAAGAAAGCAAAGCAGGGGCCTTTTGCCGATACTTTGAGCGTGGCGGCGAAGGGAGCGGGAGTTCAGCTGGGCGAATGAGAGTCAACCAAGTCGATGATTCTCAGCTCAGGAGGAAACCATGGAGGTTGTCAATCTCGGATTTTTATGCTCTTTTGATATCAAATGACATTTCCCACTCCATGACCCCAGCCACGCTTCTTGAAATGGACCAAAACTACAAAATTTGACCTTGCCAAAAATTCAATTTTAATATAAAAATATTTCTCTTGCACTTTCTTATCTTATCTTAGTCGTGGATAACATACACATACATAACATAACACATAATATCGGATTTTAAACTAATCCTACTTTGACTTTTTCTAATGTTATCTCGTCAAGAAGAAATGAAAAAGGTTGAATTTGTCATTGTATAATATTTACCATTTATTTACTTCAACAACGGGAAAATCTGAGATTGCCAACATCGGAATTACTCTTGAGACTTCCTCAGCCGGCCATTCCTCACCTACGGACTACGGACTATTCATATCATACCAACCACGTACCCGATCCTCTTTTTCCATAGTTTTTTTTTCTCATAATAAATCTCAAAATTCCATTGTTTCCTCCACATCATCTACAAAAATTTTAACGGTAAGATATCTTTCACTCCATTTTGCGAAGGGTGGTTTTGTTGACTTTGAAACGTTTTGTCTCCTTTATGTTCGTGAGGATGTTGACGAGGATTTAATTTCAGGATATTAATTAATGACTAGGATGAGGGTGCAATTTTGCAGTTCAATGGCTTCAGTTAGTCGCTGTTATTTTAGTTAGTGTAGTGAGTATGACAGTGGTGGCGATCAGGGTCAATGATTAGATTAATTATTCTTCTGGTCTGAATTTGTTCTAGAATAAAGTTTAAATTGTTTCTTTTGTGTGTGAAACAGAGTTTATCATCATCTTTGGAGTTAATTCCTCCAGAGAATAAGTCAATATTTTCGGGATGACGGGACCATCGTGGAGGCTACTTCGCCTCCTTCTCTTGGTATCTCTTGTCATCGGAGCGGTGATGGCGAAACGCGAACGGAAAGACAAAGTGAAAGTAGACGATGACCTGACTGGAAGTGATGATGCAGACACGGTGGTCGCCAGTGTAAGTTGGGAAAAAATGACCAGTAGCAGAAGTTTCTTGTGTCAATTCTTGAAATTAATGATATTTTTGTCCATCTAGAGAGGTGATGACGAGTTTGATATAATTTATGAAAGTCCAACACCAATCGGAGATTATCATTTTGCGGAACATTTTGACGATGTGGAGGCTGCCAAGAAGCGCTGGATTATGTCTAAAGCTCAAAAGGAAGAGCAAGATAACGTCTTCAAATATGAGGGGCAGTGGGATTTTGAATTTCCTCTCAACCGTATGTTTCCAACGGATAAAGCACTCATTTTGAAGTCCAAAGCCAAACTTCACGCCATTTCGGCAAAGTTGGACAAACCATTTGACTTTACGGACAAGCCATTAATTGTTCAATATGAAGTTAACTTTCAAAATGGGATGGATTGTGGGGGAGCTTATATCAAACTGATTTCAAATTCCAAGAATATGGGATTACCAACTTTTAACGATAAGACGCCTTATACAATTATGTTTGGTCCGGATAAGTGTGGGAGTGATATGAAGGTAACGCAAAACAACATGAACGATTATATATATCTAATGTTTTTATAATCAGTTGGTAATAATATTCTACTTGCTCACAGATTCACTTTATATTTCGCCACAAGAATCCGATTAATGGCACGTTTTCAGAGAAGCATTCGAAGCGTCCATCTAATCGCGTGGAAGAATCGTATGGAGATAAGAAACCTCACTTGTACCGACTTAAACTGGTAATTTTAAACGTTTCTAGCCTAGTGTGTATTTGTGTCTTCTCAGAATATAAGTAGTTTTCTTAATATATGTGTATGTTTGCGTATTCTTTCCAGACACCTGATAACAAATTTGAAGTCTTTGTTGACGATCGATTAATTAACTCTGGTAGTCTACTTGACGACATGGAACCCAAAGTTAATCCACCAATGGAAATTGAAGATCCAAACCAAGTTAAACCTGCCGATTGGGACGAACGAGAGAAAATTCCAGACCCTACTGCTGAAAAGCCAGAGGATTGGGACGAGGATGCTCCCATGAAAATCCCCGATCCTAATGCTAACCCACCCAGTGGATGGTTAATTGAGGAACCGGTATGTTTAGTTGGAGCATTAGTAATTAGAGTTGGTAATTGATTTGAAGTGATATTGTTATACAAGAGTTTTTGGTCATATTAGGAAATGGTGCCCGACCCTACTGCAATACAACCACAGGATTGGGACGATAGTATGGACGGTAGTTGGGAAGCTCCTTTGATCACAAATCCCAAATGTGCCACCGCTCCTGGTTGTGGAAGTTGGTCACCTCCTCAAATTGATAATCCAGAATTTAAAGGTAATACATTTAAAAGTAATGCAGTTGAGTACTCCGTGTTTAACTAATATTCTTTCTATACAAAAGGCAAATGGAAGCCCCCCATGATCAGTAATCCTAATTACAAAGGGAAATGGATTCCTGCAAAAATCCCGAACCCGGATTATTTCGAGGATAAGGAACCTTTCAAAATGACTTCTATTGTAAGCTGCTGCGTAGAATTGGTTTAAATCTCATGATAGATTGCTTAAATTTTAAATACTGATTATTACTTTATTTATAGGGTGCAGTTGGTCTGGAACTTTGGACAATGACTGATCAAGTTTTGTTTGACAACTTTATTATTTCCAATGATCAATCTGTTGTCGACGACTGGACAAGTAAAACTTGGGAACTCAAGCGCCGAGTATTGGAGAAAGACAACGTGAGTAGTAGAAGAAAGATTTTATTTTATTTGCTTGCATTTTCGCCATCTGCATTAAAATGAAATAATGAGAGATGAAACAATTGCAATTCACTGTTTTCAGGAAGGAGTTTTCAGACGGACTTTGAACTACACAAACGCGCATCCTTGGTTATGGGCTGTTTATGTTTTGGTACAAATTTTAATTCTGACATATTTTTTTGTGCTTTATCACTAGATCGTTAATCACTATCTTATGAGAAAAAGAAAAAACTCTAAAAATCTTGAAAATAATTCATTGGAGTTTAAGTCTTCTAATAATTTAAATATTCTCTATTTTGTTGGCTTAGGTAATTGCATTGCCAATCGTCTTGATTTTCACATTCTGTTGTGGATCTAGTCAGGTAAGCATTTTTTTATTTTAAATATGTAGTACTGTTTAATATGTTAATACGCTGTAATATGTAATCAAGGATAAGAAATCGGAGACTTACAAGAAAAACGACGAACTTTCACCCGATGATGACGATGCGGCTGTGGCAGGAGCATCAACATCAGTCCCAACTTCTGCCAAGTCTAAAGAATCAAGCGGAGCTAGACAAAGGGGTCATCAGGTGAGCAAAGACGACCTTGAGGACTCTGTTCCCTCACGTTCAACTAAGAAACAGCCCGAGCCAGAGCCCGAGCCGCAAGTCGATGATGATGAGACTGAAACTGAAACTGACAGTGAAGAAGTCGAGGAAGAAAGACCTCCAACGCCAGAGCCTGAACCAGAGCCAATCATCACCAAAAGGCGAGGAAAGGGAAGACCCCGTAAAGAATAAATAACAGCGTCATAGGAACAAATGCCGAGTCCTTAATGATCCTACATATATCACAGTTAGGTTCAAATTAATGATGTGTTACACATTCTTTTTTTATCTTTCGGCAAAGGTTTAAGATAATTATTTATTATTTCTCCTTAAATGTATTTAAGAATATTATTTCTTATTGCCTTTATAATTATTTTATCTGCGTTAGAATTTGAAATGGGATTAGTTAAATTACTCTAAACAAGATCTGCTCTTGTGTTCTCCACTAGTTGTGTAATCAATCAATCATTTATATGAAGTGGCATTTTTAACGATCTTTGAAACTGGTAATTGCAGCTTAGTTACTTAGAACTACTCCTATTATGTTACATCATGCAACCAACATGAGTCACGCTAATTGTATAGCATTCAACTGTAGAGAAAGTCTTAATTTAATCCATGCGTTGAATGCGGATTGAGAACAAGCCTGTGGAATTAATTGAAAACCCATAACAAATCCATCGACATATTTCCTACATAGTACGTGTCGACGGTTACACGTAGACTGACTCAAGCTCAGTTTTACTTTCTTTGAATTCTTCACATAATCATTTCTTTCTCTATCGCGTTCCAAATTTGACACTATGAACAAATTAGACAAATAAGAGTACCACCATTGGTCACGATCCCACTCCAGTGCCTGTTTCTGAGCATCTTTTGTATTACTAGTTGAAAATTGTATGCATTTGTTACTTTGTTGATTGTTATCAAGTATTTTTTGTAATTTTGCGTCCACACACACATACGCCAACATGCTGTTTTCTAGTTTAATAGTAGGAATACGTACTATTCAATTTACTTGTGATCCTAAAGCTGCACTGGACGACAACCGATAACGATATAATATAACGATCTATATTTACTTTCTCTTTAAAAATACAAGACTGGGCGCACCCGTTTCCGTGTTCTGCTGTTCATTTTATTGTTGAGACTTTGTTATCTCAACAATATTGTTTTTCGCCACTATGAAATGACACAGTTGTATTCGGGTGGGACGCAATAATAATGTTGTTGTATTACAGCTTGCACATTACGATTTGTTAATGCGAGTCAATTGAAAAATACATCATTTTTTATGGTTGTTATTTCTACCACCAATTTAATAATTTTTTCCTGTCCAGTCAACGTGTATAGTATGATTATTATAATAATTGTAATTATATTACCTCTTTATATCTTGATTATCTAGTCACCGTTCTAGAAAAACGTAGTCCTCCCACAACACGTAATAACTATCTCCCATGCAAATCGGTTTTAGTGCTTGCAGCCACATAATAAAAAAAGTAGCGAGAGCTTAGGTTCTATGTAATAAGATCAGCATAATAATAGTCCTAAGTAAATGTTGTTTAATAGATTTGTTGTTAGGAACTGAATTTGGCCTTAGTATGATATTATACTAAATATAGATAGCATTTGCTTCATCATGATTAGAAACTATATAATAATTGTTATATTATGCTATATGTGAGGTAACATTTTTCATGCAATTGTCAGTCGTCAGCCTCATTTACAATTTTTCATGAATAAAGAAACAACATTCGATTGGATAATAAATAACGATATCGCCCCATGATTTAAATATTTCATTTATATAAAATTTATATGCATAAAAATTGAGTTGAAATTGCTGCTTTCACCTCGCAGGAAGCATGATGCATGATTCTAATGCCCCGAGAGAGAGCCGATCTAGTTTGACTTTCACCATTCCACCAGTTGTTGCACACATCATTTATTTATTACTGTTTGACTTGAATTTTCATTTTGTGTTATTATTCTGAATTTTCATTTCGATTACAAATTCACAAAAACCACTATTCAATGTAGCACAAAATGTTCCCCTAAAATTTGTGGAACACAAATAACCCAAAATGTGACTCGACTTTAAAACCTAACAAAACTTTTGAGTTTAAAACGTTTTTCTTTTTTTACTACGTTTTATTTAATTACCTATTGCCGATAAATCTTTAATCGCAAATTTATGATTTAATTAACGAAAGACAAAACCTCAATAATTCATGGTTTAGATTTAGATTGCAATAATTACTTCAATTTACTGTGTAATCAATCGTACATAATTGTATTAATTAAGCATGAAATATGGTTTAATTTAGGAATTAGGTAAAGGGTAGGCTATTTCCGTCTTCCATTGTATACTACCCATAACTCTGCCAAATACATAATTGAGATTAGTAACTAACTCCAGAATTGACGACAATGAATTTTAATATTTGCCAAAGTAATACCTAGTTCTTCCAAACCAAACGTTCGTATTGTCACAATCAACAAGTTCAAAAGAAAGTCTTAATTGTTAATTATAAATTATGCTGTTTCTACTGCCAAATCTGCCGATAATCGGATGAATGGATCGTGATGAATATGAGTCTAGAAGATTCCTCGGAAGACGAGAGACATTTACTCTTGGACCATCAGTTTCGCCAAGAAATTGAAGACATTTTTAGATCAGTCTCCAGCATTAAATCCAAGATTGTTCAAGATGATGTACAAGATAATAGAAGCAAAGAACAATTTGCACCATCAATGGAACAAATTGCTACAGATACGTGGAACAAGTTCTCTTCGAAACATCGAACTTCACCATTTTGCGTGAACAATAATATCAAATCGGCTTCAAGAACAGGTGTAAAGCTACATCAAACTACCAACAACAAAGCTCAATCTTCACAATTTCTGACTAATAAAGGAGCAGAAAATGTGTCCAATAAGTTTAGACAACGATACGCGAAGGAGGGTGGTGACCACCTCATATTAAAATGTGTTCTCCATGTCACATTCCAATTTTTGAAGTTGGTCTACAAGCTGATCAAAATTGTTGGGATTGTAATACTCGTCCTGTTCTGTTTCTACTGTATTTTTATTTTGCACAAACCCACTCAGAGGTTTATCTCCAGGAACACGCAAGACCTTATCTACCCCTTGATGAGAGCATTGAGACTGATGTCAATCCCTGTCGTAGAAATGTTTCCGATTTTGACAGGTATAATAACCTCTTTGGATAACTTGTGTACTACGAATGGTTTCTGATTATCTATTTTTTTTACAGACTACTATGAAGAATCTTGTCTCATACACAACCCATACTATGAGATTGAAGAACTAGAATGTTCGTTGGCTTTATTATTAATATTTATTATACATTGTTTCTAGTAAAAATAAGAGTGCACATGAATTTAAAGGGAAACACTTTGAAACAGAATTTCTCATTATGCTTTGTTATCCAGGTTGGCCGTGCGAATCTGTACGTCATGTTATGGACTTAACGGGGTTGTCAAACTTTTCTGCAGGATATCACCACACCGGGATACCGTTTGTGGTGAAGGTAATTCATATTAAGAAATCATTAAAACCTACTCCAATATTTCCGATCTACAAAATTATTATCGCATGTTGTTTCAATATGTAGGATGCATTCTTGTCGGAAATTAACATGGGGAAGATTCGCAAAATTGTTTCGGAAAATCCTGATATACTTGGAAAATCATTTGTGGAGACGAATCGTTTTGGAGTTACCACTTTGAAAAACATCCTTGGTTCTCATTACTCGGAAGCATTTAACTCCGATGATTTCCACATGAAATGGTTAGATATAAATATTTAGATGGATGTACTATATGGTTATTTTTCAATTTGCAAATTTTTGAATGGTATGCACTTCTGCCAACAGGTACATCAACCGAGTGGTAATTGCTCGACTTTGGAGAAATTATTTTCCCAAGCCATACTTCATTCCGGTGAGTGACGAGAGTAAACCTTTTTTTTCTACGTATTACTGAATCATGCTTTAATTCAATGAAAACAATTAATTTGTTTAATTACCCAGAAATCTACTGAAGTATCAGTACAGCATTTTTTATTTGTGGATCGACCACTATCTAAAACCTATAGACTGGTTAGTACCAATTTGCATATTAAGTTACACACGAAATTCTTCATTTATGCAATTGTTCTTTCTAATATTTGTTGTTTTTTATAAATATAGCCGTTGACTGAATTCGCAAATGTGTTCCTAACTCAAGCCAGTGGAAGCCGTTCTGTTGTTCTCATTCCTACAAAAAACTGCCAAAAAGAATGCAAAGTCGTATCTGCAGTACTCAAACCGAAAGATGTTTGTAAGTTATTTTTTACTTTCAAAGATATTACATTTGCAAATTTTGAGATTAAATTTTACTTGATACTGTGTTTTTGTTTTCAGTATTTTATAATTGGCTGTTTTGGCGTCCAATGTCCGTCGCAGCAGATTCTACTTCGTTTCAAACTACTAGTGTTACCTTCCTAGGAAGCTTTTACTGAATTCATCGTTGTTCCCAGGTGTAACTCATTCCGGTTCAAAGTGTTAACAAGAATCAATCAAATGTTTTCTGACGCGTCTTCCATTCCAACATTTTATCATCACAACCATCAGGTGCCTTGTATGCACTCGTTTTCATGTAACTTTTTCAGCAGAATTTTGTACTTTGTTGTTTGTTATTATTACTGCACTGCTAAATTAAATTGTAATACGACCAGTATTATCCAGGAAAATAATTCAACTTCAATGACTTGAAGTTCCAATTTGCTATGCATGTAATTGTTGATACAAGAAATAAACCGAATAGACAAGAACAATCAAAATAATTTGCAACTGTTTATTGTCTCCAGCTCCTCATCGATACGACTTAATGAAGAAAGTATAAGTTCAGTTTCACACAATGAAAACCTATTGATACTGCTACTGCGTTACAAGATTCACTAATCGGCTATTAAGCATGTTCCAAAAACATGAGGTATGGACAGAAGAAAGTGCAGTTTCTCTTTGGCATTATTTAATAAGGCAACAATAATGCCGTGACGTATATGTAGTACTATGGAACAATTGACCGTGATATGAACTTCGGAATGATATACGATACCCGCATTAACCTGCACATTCACGTTTTCCAATACGTTATAATTTTACAAAACTAGGCGAACTTGTAATAAAAACTTCCAGCAAGGCAATTCCACAATACCAAAATAAAATAAATGAGACCCAGAGAAGGAAATCAATGAACACAAAATATGATTGTTCATGATTAAGTGAAATTAAGCTAAATAAGAGAAGTGATACATGTAGTTGTCTATTGTACGAACTAAAAACATTATGCAACTACTCAGGCTCTGTGAGGCCAAAAAAGGTACAAATATTGTAATAACACATACAGTTATTTGTACAGCTCAATGTTTCCCATTTGACTTTAAATCTAATCACGCATATCTATCGGTCTATCACGACTTTCAAATGATTACCTTTTCGTTTTACATCGTCATAACCTAGACTTATTAGGACTTAAAACCGTCATTATTCAACAGACACTATACTATATCCCAAAACGGGGGTGACATTAATAACAATAACAAAACACACACACATAAAACCACTTGTGCCGAATGCATCCTAGTTTGTATTATGCTTCTTTCGCGTTTCATATACTGTGGTAAAAGTACGACTAGAATAATGATATAATTATTATGCATAAAATCTTAAATTTAGGGACTGTGAAGAAGTTATAAGTCAGTCAGTGTGTGCGGTCAATAACATTCTCATGTCTTACAGTACGACCGGACTATTGTGATAACAAAAATTTTGGTTGATCCCATTTACTATTTATATTGTGGAGGTTTCATTCAAATTTTCGCTTGAGCCGGTCCTTCATCAGTACGGGAATCAGTGACAAGAGACCAAGGACTACTAGTACTATGAGTGAAGTCCAACTTAGAGCATCAGAGGAGGATGTTAACTGGTTGAGAGTGGTACCAGCTTGGATTGCAACGAATGAAGGAGGAGCGACACCTGAAATTTTAAATAAAATCCTCATTATCTATCAACCTAGAACAATTTAAATAAAGAATATGGAAACTGACAAAAAGGAATACGAACAACTTACCTATAAAGGTTCCTGTCCAGAATGGAATTAATGGAACCCCAAGTACGGGCGAGGTGATGTTGATGAACCAGTTTGGCAAGAATGGTGTTATTCTTAAAAATATTATATAGTTCAGTATATTGTCCCGGTGGCTGTTCACCTACAATTACCAAACCATCTTGTTAATCCAACCAATAGTCACAATCTTAGTGTACTATTAATTTATCTAATCCTAAGTATATCTCTCTTACGGTAGCAGACCATTGATCAACTCGTTCGGGAAAATATTTGTAAATGATCCTTCTTCCAACTAACCACGATAGCCCGTAACAAAATGAGGCTCCAGTTGCTGAGCAAAAGCAGACTAATAATAACGCCAGCCAAAACGGAAACAGAAATCCGGACAGAATTGATAGAAAAATTGAGCCAGGAATTGCGAAAGTTTGTAGACTGTAATTAATCAAGTAATTAATACATGTTAATTTCAGAAATTATTTTATATAAGAACAAATGCTGATTGCACTACTTACAAAATATAGACAACGAATACGCCACACAAGACGTTCATGTAATACTTATCTTTGTATCTATTTAAAACACCTCCTAACATTTTGGCATCATCTATATTTCTCGGCAATTTTATATACTGTTTTTCGTCTCTGTAAATTATTTAAACAAACCATTAGACTTTGAGATGTGTTCAAATTATTTTTAATTATATTTAATTATTTAATCTACTCACGGTTCCAAATTTGGGAAAGTGCTGTACACCCAGAAGAGTGCAATCAATGAAAATACAAAGATCAACCCGAGGAATAGGAACGAGTGACTTGAGGAGCCAATGGATTCTGTCGACCTCGGCCCCCCGTTCGCCGTCTGGTCATTTGATGATCCATTTGTCGCAGTGGCTGGACGTGGACGAACAGTTGCGCTTCTTGTACCTCCAAGACCACCTGCCATATACAAATTTGTTAATTAATTACAAGTTAGTAAGTTGATATTGACTTAAAAGTATGATACAATTCCCATATTTTTGTTCATTCTATTAATTCTACACTCTAAATAAATACGCAGTTCATTTCACTTTACCACTTTTCTTACCTAAATCCTTCAAAGACTTGTTATCTTCCTTCCTCATCATCATAATTGACTTTACACTTTACGTGCACCAATTTCACTGCCTTTTCCCTACCAATGAACTTTAATGTACGTACAACAACCTCCCATGCTGAGATAACAAACCATTAAACCAAACCAGAGGAAAATATGATACGACAAAAATTATTATCAGTACTGACTGACTGCACTACCATAAATCAAACCAATTTACCCACCTGCTGATGACGATGCTACTGCTGTTAGTGACGATGATGAGGCAACCGCAGATGGAGAAGAAGCTGACCTAATTTCCTCCCTCTGATATATCTTCGTCACTCTGCCACCACCACTGCCGAGACGTGGGGGTGATGAGAAGACGAAAAGGTCACGACGGCCCACAGCGGCGGCGGTGCTTATCACCTCCTCACTCATCACAAGTCCAACAACCAGCAACGACCAACTGCCACCTCCGATGACGATCCTCCGACAAAACAATCTGAGAAATGAGAAGAAGCTGACAAGGAAACAGGTGAGAGGTGCTATAGGAAGTTAGTCAGTGGTGGTGGTGGATACATGACGAGGCTCTAGTGCAGGTTGAACGAAGGCGCCCCTTCTTCCTTGGTACTTGTACGCCTACACACAAAACTCGTCGTCGTCAATTGACCAAGATATTGCACAATTACATATTATTTATTCTACACACCATAATTCCATCGTAGACCAATAGAAATGACTGTTTAGCCCTCCCTGCTACCTGGCAACTCTGGTTGTATGATGGTGTCGACGGGGTAATTAGTTTGTATTATGCAGCTCTCCATGAAATTATGTGAATTTTTAAAACATTTGTGAGAAAATTTGGAACAAATGGAGTGACTTGAATTATTTTCAGAAGGAATGAAGTTTTTATTTTTTAATGAAGTACATACATAGTAAAATACATACACGGATACAGCTAATTAATTTATCAAGCTGTATGTAATACATATCAAACAGAATAAGTTATTGATTAATTAATTAATAAGAATATTTTGAAATACTAAAATAACCAAAAACATAACGCCCCACGCAAAATAAATATGACGTAGAATGCACGTCAATGAGAAATAATGATTTTTATTGAAGTCTGCACATGGCATAAAACGGGGAATAACTCCGGAAAAAGTGAGACGTCCAAATATCTCATCTCACCTCCGTTTGAGAGACTGAATCATAGTTCTACTGAAATATTGGGGTATTATATCACACTATTCACACATCAAAATTGTTGGAAGCCGAAAAATACTATTTCCTTCTATGTTAATATATTCCTGAAAATCTGACCTATCACTCAACCGGGGATTCACAATTTACACTTAAACATTGAATTTCTAAAATTATACTAGCAATACACTACATATTTAGCAATGCTGTAAAGGTTTTTGATTTGTTGAGCAAAGTTGGAAAAGCATGACTTGGTCGAAATTCTCAGTAAATCAGATTGATTAAAGTTTTATATATGTAGGTACACACATGTATATATGTTTACACAGGTTGTATTTTGCTGCAAATCTTAAGTTGGTTCCAACCAGTTTCATTACAATAACTTCTCTCAATTCTGTAGTTGAAATTGTTGGTTTTTAGTTGCGACAAGATTGGAGAGAGTGAAATGGTTCATACATGATTAAACTGCAAGGTACAAAAGCCAACTTAAATATATTGGGTCACATTGTATAACAATTACATTCCATTCTTCGACACCTTACAAAGTGCTGAATGCTGTCGTCGCACCTTACCGTTTTCTTATTTTAAATCTGTTTTATTCAAAAATAATACTGCTTATGACTTGATAACAGCTTTACTGAGGGGGAATATGTATGTACATGTAATAAGAAAGTAAACGTGGGTAGATGGATTGCATTGAAAATAAAGTGTCCTTTATGCACTTTTTTAAATTTCAGTGCAGTTAAATGAACCATGCACAAAATACAAGTGCAGCATATGTATTGTTGCATATTTTTATTGCATAATTGAACTGCATAAAAAGTTCATTGTCACAAGCTGGCTCACTTTAGAGAGAACCTCCCAACATTTGAAGTCATAGCTTATGTCACAATTTTTAAAGACTATACTTTGAACCGATTTATAGTACGGAATGAGGGTTTGTTGTCTCATAAATGTGTGTAGTGTGTGACATGTTTGTCTGTCAGACACATATAAATTATGACAATGGAGTGTGATACACATAATTTTTCAAAGTGTGATTGTGGGTCATCCCGCAGGGAATATCTTTGTAATATTCGTATGGGTAACCATTACTTGATACACAAATATTAAATATTGTTGAAGAAGATGTTAATAAAACTACTTTACTGGTCTTTTCATGTCATTTATGTATTCTGCTTTACGTGAAAAAGCCAAAGGACGAGTGATATTAGTCCAAGTCCATTTTATTTATGGAGTGTGTGCTAAACGTGTTTATGTGATAATTAAACTGCTCATAACATCATATTCAGCCATGAACACGGTCTCATGGTATCAATCAACATGATCTAGATCATTTAATTGGACATTATGTAGACACTATTTAGTTGGAGTAATCCTTACAAATTCTTGTTTTTGTTGTTCATCTTGACTATTATCATCATTTTTGACGCGACAGATCATGTGGAACAGAACGAGACAATGGGATTTCGTATAACATTGCATAATGTAGTCGTATCATAGATAAAATAGCTCAAAAGAATCAATCAGCACAAATATAGGACTGCTTGAAATTAAAGCTTATGAATTATTTGTAAAGCTTTATTATTCATGCTCTTGACTGCAACACTTTCCCCATTATGATAAACATAAATAAGGTGACAAGCATGCCAGTTTTTGCTTTCTTCTCTTCAATTGATTTGAATATCTGACACCTCAAAAGATGTTCAAACTGTAAATTAGAAAAAATAGGAATACAAATCACATCATTTGAAATGATGTTGTTCACTCTATAATTTCATCGTCGTTCTCTTTTCATATTGTTGTTCAGCTATTTTTATAATTGTTTTTATTTCAAGGCTGGAGTTGTTTTACTTTGTCTTCAAAGTCTGAATAGTCCTAACTTTGAAAACGAAATAATTTTCAGTGGCACACATAGGATCTAGAATTGACTGAAATTGGTTAATTAATTTTGACACGAGTTTTTATTGAAGTTTAATTAATCAAAAACTGGAAATCAGAAGTGTACGCGTGTGGAAGTTAGGAATGATCTTTAGAGAAAGTGAGTGTACGTACGTACATATAAGTATTTGTATAACATTGAAATTCTGCGTGGGCCTGCTTATTGTGACACTTTTTCGTTGTAAAGTTAAATCTATTATCGTCACCACGAGATTGACGCAGATGCAAATTCAGGCATGTTCTACTCTGATTTGTTGGCGTATGTATACAAAAACAGCCTAGAAGTTTACCTGTTGTTCTAGAATGAAACGTCAGAGGAACCCAGACCAGATTCCTTGAAAACCTTATTATCCAACATAAAGTGTCACACATAGTTATGCAATTCATTTAATGTTTCGACGTGAATTTGTATATTATACAAATTAATGCGAACATATACTATTCGGCTAAAAACTTAATTGTCATTGATATAGTCTACATATTAACTTTAATTAAACATTTTCATGTACTGAATGAATGCATGTAATTTACTACGTTTTTATTATACATAGGTTGTAACAGAAGTAAATAAATATCTGTATCACAAAATTGTTTGCATGCTAATTTGTCAGCTTTATTTGCAAATTAGTTTAACACTAAATTAAAGTGTGATAATGTTGCATTCATATAAATTTGGTAGGTTTTGTGCTAAAAACTAAAACAGAAAGTGGATGGTGAGTTAGTTTGTTCAATTTTGCATGTATTTGCACAGCATTACATACAATGCTATGAAGAAACGGATCGAGGTAGGTTAAGTTTAAATAAATGAATGAATACCAGCACGAACAATTATTTTGAAAATCACGAAACTCTGATTTAGTTTTCATGATAGCTGTGTACAAACTAAAAGGTACTAAAACCACCGTGTGGTAATTTAGCAAGGATGAAAGAAATACTGTGTACCTCAAGTGTTTTATGCAGTTGTTAAAAAGTAGACACATTCAAAGATATCGTGATGCATTCGGATCACCTCAAGTTCTTCTTGTCCCGTTTAGTTATGTACTTTGAATGTCCATCGAAACGTAGTTATTTAAACAAAAATACAGTTCTGTCTAGATTATTTATTTAAAAAATACGTACAATTAAATGTTGCACGAACATAATTTTATCCATTTTTAGAATTGGTTATAATCTTCGTACGATTTGTCGAGCCATTATCTTAAACATTTTGTCATTGACATAGAAGATTTGGGAATAAACCAAATCATCAATTGTTTCTCGTATTTGTTGGTATCAGTTTCTCTAATTGTTCCTCTACACCCAACAGTCTCATGTGTTGTGTATGCTCAAACGATTTCTTCATGATGTCTGTGATTCAAAGAGAATTGGATCTTCCTTTAATTTTTTATAATGCTAGATTTTGGTCTCATGAAACTAATTGCACCACAGATCGGCACATCCAACCGGATCACAGCGTTTTAAGAAAAATTATCAAATGCAATTATAATTTGTTGTTATTTATATATTTGCATACAATTATTGCCTTGATGACAAGAATAGCATAAAATAGTCTGCGATTACTTCTATCCTTTTGAATATTTCTTCAAAATTTTTAAGATTTGATTATCCCATGATTGAGGTAGCGTATAACAACAATGATGAATAAATGTCAGTTGAAAAATTAGCTATTTTACATATGTAGCTAAACTATTTTCTTATTCAGTACAGTCATGTAATATCCCCAAATAAAGATTTCGAGCATATAAAGTACACGTCATCTCGGAACACCTGATGTAATTCTTTCATTCTTTCAATCATTCATTGCAGATAACTTCAATGGTGAATCAATTATTGCCTTAATAATAATGAAGAATGGAGCTGTCATATAATCGCACAAGTTTTTACGCATTTATGAAGGTCATGAAATTGGAGAACTGGAAGTAAACACAATAGACTCCAAAATCCAATCGGTCTCCTAGTGTCACAAAAGTTATACATAAACAAATCCAAATATGCACATATAAGAAATCGTACAAATTGAATAGGTCCCAAATGGAACCCTGTACCTACATTATGTCGACAAGTTTTTTTTTTAACGTTGATGTACTTTTCGAGGGATCCACACCAAAATCTTGTTTGCAGGGGATGCTTGCTAAATTAGAGTAGCTAACGTCTAAGTTGCTGCAGCCACCATTGTATTCTGTCATTGGAGATGGATTACATTAAGCCAAGTTAAAATTGGAGTTAAAGTTTGTGAGGTGCAAATGGCGAATGGTGGAAAGTACGCTAAGCGGCTCACTGCCTCCACAGAGAGTCCTTTTCGTCGAAAGACTCACTGCTTCGACTTGTAAAACATTCAGAGTCGCATTGTGCATCAGGAATCACTTCCCAGAACACATCAACGCTTGATTACTCCGTTGAATGCATTTTTTCGAGTTTTCAATAAAATCTCGTGAGTGAAGTTTTCCTAATAAAAAAATAGATAAATTGGCCGATCTTTGTATTGGCTGAGTGAGTGAGTCTTTTTACAAAAAAGGGAAAAGCCAGCCAGTAGTGGTGCCATTAGGAGGGTGAATTTGTGCAGGTCGGATCAATGGTTCGGGTTTTGGAGAAAGCTGGAAAGACCACAGCGACGACGACGACGAGCTAGTGAGCCAAACTGCGACTTCTTCTCAATGCATTTCTCCACAGCGACTTTCTGTTAATAACTTTCGACTTTACTCGAAATATTTCATTTCTTCATTGGATTCGGGCTTAATAGAAACGAGTCACCTCAGCCAAATTATTTGCAATGAATTTCTCATGGGTAAGTGAAACATGTAAATTTTCATGTAACAAGTATTTAGTAACACACACCATTTTGTGAAACTGTACTTATCGGCATCTTCAAAAACGTAATCTGACAGAACACACGTATGCCGAAAAACAAAGTAAATCTCACAAGCAATCAAGTATCAGCACTTTAATTGCTTTATTTCTGGATGTTCCACTCCACTCGCAGCATCACATCAGTCCACTTTTCTCATGAGACTTTTATTCCATTATAAGTTGTTCATGGTCATGAAGAAGATCTCTCATCAGTCTCATCGACTTTCTTTCCTCTCTCAACTCGCAATTCAATTTAAACTGAGGAGATGAGAAAGAAAGCAATAGGAACACATGCACCGAGTTAAATTTTGTTTAGCGAGTAGTTTACATGAAACAGTCAAATTCAATTTTATCCCATGTTTCGCATTGTGTAAAGTGAAGAGAATGAGAGAAGTTGGAGATTAGAATAGAATTATAACGCAGTTCTCAGCAGTCTATGTGTCGTGGTGGTGGTGGTTTTGATTACCGTGTAGATTTTGCCAGTCTTGGTAGCGGTTGTTGGATTCGAATTTGTACGTACATGATGAATGACAAGGCGTACACGAGCAAAAGGTGGTCTCTCATGCAAAAAAAGAGACAAATTCGTAGGAAAGGTAACAGGAGGTGAGTGATGTGATGTATAGTCGGCCTTGAGTGAGGGTCTCTGGCTATCACTAACAAATCAAGTATCTCGTTCCTTAATGTGACAGTTTTCTCACACCATCATCGTAGTGGTCCATGTTTTGGTGCCGTAATAAAAATATATATACCACCAACCAGAGTTTCCTCTAATAGGATACAATTATCGCACAACATTATTATTATTCTGAATGTCGTCGGCTGTCTAATTCCTGTTAAGTCATATGTGACAAGAGACGCCAAGTAATATCGTCGGTAGTCATGTCTTTTACATAAACTGGGCAATTACATATGTAAAAGTGGCCGCAAAACGACACTTTCATCCCATTTGGTACGGTGTGATTTTGTTACGATACATTTTCACTATCTATCGCACTCAATATGCACAAACATTGAAAAATGCATGTATGCACGTGAATGACTATTTTAGTTTATGTGTGGTGAGATCATCCATCACTATTTTTTCTATTAAAACCAACAAATCATTGAACATGATTATTGTTTTATGTTATCCTTCACGTAATTATTTTACGATTCTTTCAAAAAATCGAATGTCATTGCTTTGTTTTGTACAGAGTGCATTTTAATTTTGGTCTAAAAACCAACTCAGTCACTGCAAAAGGTACGTAGTGACCAACCACAAACAAAACGATGTTGTTTAATTTTAGGCAAACCATTATTATTTACTGTTTAGTAGTAGAATATGCACGAGGAGTGAGAAGTAAAATTGTGGCATTGACACATGAAGCAGATACTTTTTTGTCTATGTTTTTAATGTGCAAGTAAAATTATCAAAAGCGTGTAAAATGATAATGCCAAAGGTCGTCAAATAAAAGTCATACAAATCTCCAATTGTGCTCCTTCAGAATTGTTTTTATTGTTAAAAATTCAGACCAAATCAGAGCACGACAATCCTTCTTTTGTTTCATTGATTGAGTCGTCAATAATTTAAAACTGGTTAATTTCGTCTGAAAACCAATTGAATCTGGGAATTCAAGGGTGGGTTATCCTATTTTTTTTACAGTGCACGAAGTGCTCTTTACTGACGCATGATGCAAAAAATAATCAAGAATTTAAACTCATTGACATTTCATCAGGGTTGGCTGACGATCTAATTTAGACTAGGCTTGAGATGTGCTTCAAAAACAGAGCATTCAAATTTACATCGTTACAGATCAAATGACAATATGTAACGTCTGTCTGAGTAAAAAATGAAGGTCACGCTGCACATCCTCTCTCTTCTTATGCAAAACTAATGAAGTAATGTCAAATATGGATGAAGATGCTTGCATAAAGTTTTGTATAACGACGGGTGTGACTCACTTTTACTTCTTTACCTCTCTGCCCCTTCTTACTTAACGTGACGATAATGAGGGCACGAGGAAGGATTATACCGTCATGAAGTGTCTGCTCTAAACCCACAGCGAGTCATGATTTGTAAAGTACTTTCTTTATAAATTAATGCACACAATTCCTTCGAATTTCAACTGTTTTGCGCAAAGTCTTACTAAAACCGGTAGATATTATGCATATTTTCTTCCTCTTTTCCAGCTAACGACTAGATTTTGTCATTGTAATGTGAGACCTGAAATGTTTCGCAATTTGCCTCATCAATCTGGCAATTTTTATTTATAAAGTCCGGCTAAAACATTATATTAAACCGATAAGTCTACAAACCAAACTTAATATTTCATAACACAGGAAGTCGGCAATGTGATTCTGAAAATGAGTAAAAAAAACTAAATGGTTTAATTCATGAATTGCACTGAATTGTTGTTTGCAAAGGCAAAACAGTGTCAGATGCAATGCAGTGGTGCTAAATTTATTTCTGAAGAATATGTTGAACGCTTGAATTACCCAGAGACCAGAGTAAAATAAAATCACTCAAAAGCCTGTTGTGGTTGCCTCCAAAAATCAGAAACACTCAATGCATTTAATCCAACTACTTACTTGGTTAGTATTTAAAATTCGATAAAACTTAACGTCTTTTTTCCTAAAACTGGGGACTTGTAACCAGTGTTTGAAACGCTTATAGAGTTGTTTTACTTTTACCGACAAAGGCTCCCTTCTCAATTTACAATTCATCGCGGAATGATTACAGTGCAGAAATAATTGATTGTGATCTTTGTCTAATCATTCACGAGTTTTGATCATAACTTGTTTTATGGAGTCTTGAAAATTTCTATTTGTTGAAATAAGTTCAGATTTCGGACAAAACTAGTTGTTACATAATTAGTTACGTAACCTTCGACTGGCTATGCATAAGTACTTACAAAGCAGAATGTAACCGACTATTTTACAAGGGAACTATTCAAAAGATCATTTGACAATAACATCCAAATTTTCGGAAACACAATAATATTTGTAAGAGTACAATTTCGAGTGGGTGAGATGACTTCTGCTGGTTGCCAGCTTACGTAGTGGAAAAGGAGCACATTTTCTCATTGTTTAAGATGAAGAAGGAGCAGCATAACCGTGTCAAAAGGCCTCAACAGATTAAAAAACATTGTTCACTTTTGATTCCTTCTTCGCAGAAACTGCTGTTTGCTTTCGCTTTTCAAAACTTTGCAGCAACTTTGACTCAGGAAACTTGTTTCCAAAAACTTTGTCATCCTTCTTCTAAATATGTAGTTGTAAATGTGCCTACGTGACACTCATCATGACCATACTTTTAAATGCACAACATTTCAGAATAATTAGCCCCGAATAATGATAATAATGTTGCAAAAGAGTCAGTCTGGTTGCCCTTGGCCCGTTCGGTTTGTTGTGTTTTGTTCTCTGCGGTGTAGCAATTTCCTTAAAATTTTATACGCTCGACTCCAATTTTAGTCCAAATACTGGTATATATTTCACAGACGGAAGCAGAAAAGATCGTGGACTCGTCTTCTTCTTCATCTTGTTCATTTAAGAAAAAAATGTGACTTAAAGGTTTAGCAATCCCTCTGCCCACGCATTTGGCTTTGGTTGAGCCGAATTTCAGAAGCTGAAAGAAGACTTTTATTTGTTTCTCAATGGTTTGAACCTACCTACTTTTAAAACTTTTAATGTGTCGTCGTACAAGTTTGCCTCTTCTATTTTGTTATGTTCCCATTGAAATTGAAAGAAAGAAACTTGTCACAAGTCTCTTTTTTCAATTTGTCTCAAAAATGTAGTTTGTCGCAATCCAATCCACTTACCAATCAACCAACCCAAACAAGAGACGAAACTACTTGAAAATCTGGAACAAAGGATTCATGTGAGTTATTTGATCTGTCTGTCGAAAAAATGTGTACCATTTTTAGGGCACACCAAGCAATTCTTGAAATGAAAATGAATAGGGGGACCCTACTTTGAAATGGGTCCCATGTTTCGATCTCGTATTTAATCATTTCCCTCCTTTTCATTATATTCTATAATTTTACGATATTTATTACATTGTCGATGGTTGGTTGTGTTGATGATGCGAGAATAAAATAAACAACAACGTTTGTTGTGATAGAGGCACGCTTAACAAATTACGGTTTAAGTGTAGAGTGTGAAACACGAACCTAGTGTATCAACAAATTGAACTTTCATGAAAAATCACGACGTTTTTCTTAGCAGGTGATGCATGGTTTGATGTTCCTGTTTATTCTTCGATACAAAATGTGCTTGACGAACTGATGTCATAAGTCGATAGATAAACTCGTCAATAATTGTTTGCAAATTATTGTTTGTAAAGAGAAGATACGGACAAGTTGGATAAAATCGTTTATATTTATATCAGAATATTCAGCATGTCGTAATGTAGAGTGATGTATTGACAGGGATGAATTTCGTAAAACAGTAAGTTTTTGATTGACTTTGGTAATATCGTGGAGTGAATTTATTCTTGGCTGTCACGACGATATTACTCTCTGGCTTTTAACTTGGCCTATATTTCTTGAGTTTAAGTATGAGGTAAGAAAGATGCAAACTTTCTTTATCCACTTTATTTTGAAGTCTGCATAATATTTGATGAATCATTACTTAACAAAGGATTAGTAGACATACGGTGTGAGATACATATTTATGGATTGATATGATATTTTGAAACCGATCATTAAAGAATAGTCCGATCTTTTCCTACCAGAGCGGTTTGGACCACTCGTTTATAGAATTTCCAAACCTTATCTAAGATTACTGCGTGATGTCCTCTTTGTTTTAAAACCTGAAAAAGATGAAAAAGTTCAAAGGGCTATATCCGAAACCCAATCCTTCCCAATTAATTATTTTGCGTAATGAACAAGTGATACGTCTGACCTTTAGTTATTTTTAAATTGATAAGGTATTTTATGAGTACCTCAATTTACGGATCTCATTATGTATTTAGGAGATAAACACGAAGGAAAAATGTAGAAAAATATAAACGAAATTTCTCGTGTGTTGTGAGGCACATTTAGCTTTCATTGCGAAATTTTTCGCGAAAGTGATCACGTACTACAAACAGTGAAGGATTGATTGATTATCGTGGCTCGATGATAGTGACACTTTTCTACTGCTGTCTTTTGTCTTACACAATAAAATTGGGTAGGCATCAACGTAACACTGAGATTTTTAATTTGAGATATTATTCCGTTCAGATGAGGTGTTTTGCGTCTTTAAAACTTGTAAAATGCGATGATGCCGTTATTTCTTACTGAAATAATTCATGTGATAAATAGGCATATAATTTTAATGATGGGATTTGATACACCTTCTTATTTGTTGAAGCTTTATTGAATATTTTAATCGATTGAGGACCAAATCCGATAAACTTGTGTATTTACATGGAATATATAATGTCCAATTTAATCATCATTTAGATTGATACAGTAATTTATTGTTTATCGAGTCCAACCAATTTGTTCTACTGCAGTGCACCTTTTGTTCCGTAAAGGTCAATCGCTGCGTGAGATCAACGGATAGCGAGTCTGATATCTTTACGACAATTCACTTTTTGGTATCTGAAATTAATCAATAACGCTTTTGCCATTCAGGATGTCGTGACCTCGTCTTGTCTGCAGTCTTACGGTTTAAGCATATTTTTGCGCTAATTCAATTTCACAAAGGTAAACTTGGAATTAACCGTTTGAAGTAAAATCAGTCGCGGATGCAAGAAAAGGACTGCGATGTCCGTCAGTAGAATTTATGCATAGTGCAAGTGAGTGGTAAATATGGCATTGCGTGTTGATATGTTCACACGTATATTTTTATACCGGATCTTGAGTGTCCAAGATTTTGTTTAATATTTAACATCGAATGTAATACATTTTTTTATTATTTTAGAATGGTTTCATTACAATTTCTATTGAATCAATTAAAAAAATAAAAACAGAATTAAGTATGAAACCAATTAAAATTGAGTTGGTGACATGGGGAAGCAAATTTGACACTAGTTCATCTGGTTCTTCTGGAACTTTACAACAGGTTTCATCCCTGGAAATTTTCTTGTTCCCAAAAGTTATTAGTTTAGCATTAGGCACTAAACCAGCTCATACATACTTAGTTTTTAAAATCATAATTTCTGAAAAGTAATTCCTTTCACACATCACAAAGAAAAACTCATGTAGCTCGCAAGAAATTGATTCTGAGAATAATCATGTTTTCTTTTCGTCTAGATATCCTTATGCATCAGTTTTCTTCTCCACTCGGTGAGATCAGCGCCTGCCGTTTCTTCCGTGCACGTGAGTTTCGTGGCCGGAAACAAGGCGACAGAATATTCTCACGGAATTGGAGGATCGTCACCTTTACTTCACTACAATCACAATCATCTCCGCCATCACGGCGGAAAAAGAGGTATGTCAGCTCGAGCGAAATTTACACTTTTTTTAGAACACTGTTACGAAAACAGTGTCCCATCCCATGTTTACTTTAATAGCATGTGAGGTATTAGGCACTAAAAAAACTTGCGTCGCGACAAGAGTTAATCATGAATGGTGAAAGTCATCGCACTTTGTCTAATCTAGTAAAATCTGGTTTTTATCGTTGAGGCATCGTTTAAAGATGAGTTTCATTAAAGTTATACTCTGTTCGATTTTTAGCTACTTATTTGTGCATCATTCTTCTAGACAAACACTCTGAACGAATTTTTTGTAGGTTGCAAAAAAAAATAAAACAAGCCGCTCCTGCTGATCCATACGATTAGACAAACCGTTGATGCTCTTAGACAATGAGGCGTCAAGGGTTAACAATCAGCGTGGATGAGCACAAACCTCAAATGCATAATGTTCACTCGCGAAGACGTCAGAGAACAAGTGAGGTGGAAAAAATTTCATTCATTTGATGGTTCTCTTGCAACATAGTTCACACGTAACACAGATTCGCTCCATGGAGCCTCACATAATCTCGCGACGATGATAAACCAACCAAACATTAACCAAGAAATGACAAAATACTAATGCAAATGCAACTTCGTTTAACCCTTCAAGCTTCTAAACAAGGGTTGATTTTGCAATTACAACTTACCCAAAACTAAATGGCTCACATTCTTGACCGCATTTTAAAGCATGAACATGTTTTTACTAATATACGTGATAATTGACATACCACTAGATACGAACAAAAAAAAACATTTAGATAACGAAAGGGGATGATGGTTGGTTGTCGATAGGCTGATGGCTCACATCCTCTTCACCAGCTTGTCTTACATACTTATCATAAAAGTGCAGGCAAATCTTACTGACTTTAATTTCGGACTAACTAAATAGAAATTGTAGATGAATTAGGAGAAAGCCATGTGAAGCGAAAGAGGAGTACGCACGAGAGCACGACATCCGTAATCAGCCCGACGAATGAAGCAATTTCCACCTCCCCTACAATTCTTGGAACATCGACAACTGCAAAAATTTACAAGAAAAACAAATCGTACAGCGCTCGCGTCCCAATTAATCCGAAATTCGGTAGAAAACATTTAACCAACAAAATGACATCGACAACAAGAGCCTCCGATGATGAGCTTGCCACTCCCACAACAATTAGCACCACTACTTCTACCACCGCCATGATTGACGAATCTAACCCCAGCAGCACTGCCAGCACCACGTCCTCCCCGCTCCTCAAGCGGATACTGAGACCCCGCGTGAAATTTGTCGAAAGTCGACCCACAGTTTCCGGCGTGGAGGAAAACGTGGTCACCACGTCGGAAGACAGTTTGCGTACGACAACGAGTGACATTTTGAGAGGTGAAAGCACGAAACCGAAAGACTCGAAGGCTGTAAAGAGAAGTCCATTTATTGGAGATAATTTTGAAACTGGAGGAATTCAATTTCCTGACTTTGACGATTTTGGTGGTAAGAATAACAACTAAAGCAAACTACAACAACCTGGGTGCCTACTTACCTTAACAACTGTTACTTTCACTAACTCACTCCTTATATCTGCACACACTGCACACTTAAATTACTAACAAGTATGAAAAAGACGTTGATATATATGTTTCAATTACTCATCTCGGTTACGGTTTACAATCAATTGCACGTGTATGCACTCCAATTTTCTTACTACCAATATTACGCTACTCTTGTTAGCGAAACTTTTTGCTTTACTGCATGTTATGTCATAGAAAGGAGCTTCCTGCTTAAAAAACTAAAAATATTTTTCATCCTACGTACATGAAATACCAGAACTGGTCTAATTTGTAAAGTGGTCACTCAGTCAGTGATGGATTTATATATGCACTATGCACTTCGGTCTACTCCACTTTATTGCGCTACTTTAAAACACATGTAAATCAATTCAATTAACAAGTTCATCCTTCAAGCATGCATTACACTGATGAGTCCGTGTAGTGTCACAGTTCTGGGCAATTTATTAATCCAACTTGGTGAGCAGATAATCTACCTGATTACAGCGATGAGTGAGTATCACTCAATCTGTATTACGCCGTGACGAAGGTTGCACTTTATCTTTGCACAATTAAACATGTAGCTCCCGTCAATCATTTCCTAGTAGCTACATACATAATTTAATCACATTATTCGAACGTGGGTGACGTGTGAAGTGAAAACTCGTTTGACAACCACCAATATTTTGACACTTTTCTACGTGTTCATCACAATTTTAGTATTGATAAAGCTCAATTACAGTTAATCTGCATATGCATGAAAGACCCTCAATTTGTAAATTAGTTTTTCCTTAAATTACATGAACATCCTGTCTGTGAATCTCATTTTATTAGCTGGACTTTGCACTCATTAAACCTTATACATAAATGACAATAGTAGCTCACGTGGCTTCTGAGACGAATGTTACTTTTGTTACAGGGGAAGATATATGCATCACATAATTAAAATATCTGTAGTATGCTCATCTCCATATTCCTGGAAAAAATAAGGTTCCTGCGATGCGTAGTGCCAAATGATGAATGCATATTATACGCATTTACTAGCTCTGCCTCATTTTAATTGGGAAGTGAAATTCACTGAAAAAAGAACTGTCTCATTGTGAAGTCAATCTCGCGTCTTAAATTTTTCATTAAGTATTATCTCTTGCATCATTTCTTGTATTGAAAAATTCTCAGCGAACGCTTTAAAAACGTCGTCATAATCGCAGAGTTGTATAATAATATAATTAAACAACTCCATAAGTTGTTCAAAGTTTTTAAAAGTATTTCTCGGATTGGCATCTCTTTGCATGACATGACATAACCAAGCCCTCATTTCTATCTTGAAATTGAAATTTTCTTCCACAAATTCGTGTCGTAACTCTGGTTTAGTCGAATCATCCGTCACCTTCGGCTTGCACAACGTAATAAATTGCACTTTTAAATAGTCTTTTTTATAATGGGCGAATTACCAGAAGTCTGATTTCTACTTGTTAAAATCAAATGCAACTCTCACCTCATGATGAATTTGCCCAATTATAAAAGAGTCAGTCTAAATCTGCCTCCGTCAATTAATGCGTCTAAAAAAATTCAACAATATTATTGCATTTAGGGGCTGATAAGCATGATAAGCCATTACACAATCACAATGAAATTCTTTCACTTATATAACTCCAATTTTAATGGGACCAAGCTTATTTTGCTGGCAACCTAAAAAACAAGCAGACCAGTATTATTTTCCAAATCTCCGAATTTGGTAGAATTTGCTAAATGTTTTTCAGGAAAATCCTCGGTTTAAATTACAATCGGAGTTATACACGTGAAAGACTTACATTGTTAGTTTACCAACTAGCAGAAATCATGTTGACTGATCGGAACTCAATACTCGGTTGCGTACAAAATGTCAAATTGAAACTTGATCACGTTTTGTTATTAAACATTTGTTATTAAACATTTTTGTATTGGAGTACAGCCAATATGCTTGTTGATACCATCATCAGCAGTTCTTAGAGTTCATAGTTGATAGTGACAAATTACATGCTGTGCTTATTACTGGTACTGCTTTTCCATCCAGGTGAGTACCTTAATTGTGCACAAGTCAAGCACATAATTGTGTCTACCTGGTGAAATTTTTTTTTGCACAGATATTTTTTAGTTCCTTCATTTATTCTGCATAATAGGCTTGTTAGTTCGAGAATTTCGCCGTAAGTAAGACATTTCTACAACGGTTTCGGTCTAAACTTACGTAGGCGTTACGTAAACAAACTTACGTAAAGATTAATAAAACAATCTGAGAACCCACCCAAATAGAATCGTATTCTTTCTTAATAGGGTTAAATAACGTGGTAGAACACAGACTTTGCAATATCATGGTCGTGTAATTCGTTTCAGTCTTTGTGACTCTGGTTTCTCATGTGACATTTAAAAAATGACAATTTTGTATATAAATCATAACAATATTATAAATCATAGTGGCATAACTGAAACTGAGGAAGTTGAACCTTGAAGTCATACATACGTCCGTCCATGAACAACAAACTCTGAAAACTTGTATATATTAAGCAACCAGTATTACTTATCTAGTTAAGAAACTTAAATATTATGTAATCACTTAAAAAATGACGTTATGAGCAATTCTTCGTAAATTGTTATTATGCTGTAGTATTTATTTTTCAGGGCATGCAACAGCATGGCTGGATTACATTTTGTGAAACATTTTGTGCTTGTTCTTCTAGTTTTGTATCTTGTATTGAACGTTTTCTTCAACTTTTTTCCTCTGTCTGGCTGTCATCTGTATTTGTTCGATTCTCATTTTGCCTCAATTCAATTTATTAGTTTCTATTCAATTTCCTCATTTATCGTGACCTACTCCGATGATGTAGGTCTTATAAAGGAAGATAAATGGCACTCATTTAAAAGCTTTGTTTCATAAAGGCGACGATTTTGGGTCTTTGAGGAACTTTGCTGGAGGACGCGGCGGGGGTCACAGAGGAAATTTAGCAGCCCACGCGCACGCAAATCCTGAAGCACTATCTCCCGATGGAGTTTTCCTGCCACCAATTCCCACAGAGGTAGGTGCCCATTGTCTGCCAAATTATGTGGTTTTACGTGTAATCAAATTGCATAATCAGTAAAAGTAAGCAGGTGTAAATTAATGAGTGGGTCGAGGTCGCTCCAAGTTTTATACTTTGCAATCATTGCGATACATTAGTTAATGATGCCCGAAACCTGCACTGGTTTATCGCCACGCCACCACTCCAAAACTAACTGCGAAGATAGGGCAGAGTATTAAAAACAGAGTGACGATTTCCACAAGCCCACGATTAATGTTGTACATGAGGAGAAGAGAGAAACAGCATTAACTGTCGTCGTGGTTTATGTCCGTCATTATTATTATATGACATGCTGTCCTCTAGTCACTTGCGTGATGAATGGACAGCGACATCGCTCCACAGCCCCACCATCATCCAAGCTATCATCGTTCGTAGCTGGTAGCTGGTTGGGGATGGGAAAGTAATGCATTTTATTCGTCCACCATGGTGAATGAATACGGAAGTTTGTCGAGTAAATAATGCGTCACCTCACTCACTCACCTTGGTTTGGCTTCTTTGTTTCCTTTTAGGCGAGTGACTATGCAGACAGCGACCCGTACCTCGCGGACCCTGATACTGCCAAGTATGCTGCCCAACACCCGCCATTCTTCGCTGCCTTCCCCCACAAACGGACCGTGCTGGCCCTTAACGATCAGCGAGTTCACAATGGACTCGAGCCCAACTTCCTCCGCAGTATTCGACCTTACTTCGCCTTCTTTGATGCTGCAAAGTAACCAACCAACAACATTTATCATCCATATTCCTCCACCATTAAATCCGCTGCTTCCTTCTCGGCTGTAAAATTGAGCTACCGTTTGTTTGCTATTTCTTTGCTGGGTGTCCTACTAAACGCTCTCCAGCTTTGCCTCCTACTGAATTTTACTATTCATTTCAGCAGAGTGAATTCATTCGTTCGTAGCGACTTGAAATCTGTGTCTGCTTCGTCTTTCTTCTGTAGTGTCTCATTGTTTTGAGAAGAGAATAAGGTTTTATTTGAAATTGTGGAATTCTGAATCTAGGCAATCTAGCTGATGGAAAATATTTGCAGAGCTCCCAATTTTCAGAGCTCTTTTAATTTTATTACCCTCCTCGTCCTCATCGCAGGCTTAACATTGATTACGAATATGCCAACTGACATGAAAGTAGTGGAAGGAGGAGAAAATTTCCATATCACTTTTCTCCACTGCGTTGTACAAGGAATCAGAAATGTTTGTAATGCCAGTTGCATAACGACTGCATGCACACCCAAACAATTAACAATTCATATTTTCGAATAGTCGTAAACTTGTAAATAATTCAGTAATGAATATTTTAGATATTTCACTTTTGCCAAGGCTTCATGCATTTCCATGCATTTTGTTTGCTTACCAAAGCTTTGACTGTGAAATGTACATAGTCGCATATTCATCAATTAGTTAATTCATAGCTTCTAATCTTATTGGAATCGAGGATGATATTCGATCCATTATTTAAGCAACGCTGCTAACTACCGCTTATAATAATAATAATTATAATTACCAATCAGTTGTGTCTCTAATACTTTATTTTTTCACTTGTGTTGCCCACTTACTGCTTTATCAGCGTATAATAATAATAAAAAAACGTGTAAATACCGTTCCCACGATAGTCTATTTAGTTCGTGTTGCAATGATAACGACACGTTTTTGGTACTTTTCTACATTCTCTAATTAAATTGTAAATACATTAAAGTGAACCTACTAAAAAATAAACAATACTACTTTATGCAAACTAACCGTGGGCGAGCTACGTTGCCACGACGTTCAGCAGGCTTGGAAGCAAGTCTTCTTTCTTTCCTACCCCTTTTGACATTTCTTTCATCATACTTTGTATTCTTCCTGACAATCAATGTGTGATCTGCCAACGCGGCCTCCAGCACAATATCTTCCTCGTATATTGATAATTCCGTCATCGTCTGCAAAACTTTTTGCGTAATATTGCGTCACGTACAGCCAGCCGACATTTAGCAAAGTTGTTATCATTGATATTCAGAAGTAGCAAACTCAGCAGTCACAGGTCACAGCAGACAACCAATGGGATTTAGACAATATTTTTCGAGACAAGAATTTCTCAATCATCGTTTTCAATGAATAGGTTTTCTGAACCGAAATGTCAGCATGATATTACTTAACCAATAAAGATACTTGAATAGTACGACGACGAGGACGACAAGGTTACTCCCGCCCACGAAGAAAGCCCTTTAACAATGTTAGTTTTTAGATGAATGAAATATATTTTGTGAAGAGGGAATACTTAAGTAGAAAAGTATTTAAAATCGCGTCCCACCACTCAGGCCGATAAGTACGCAAGATATTTATTGTGAGCTCTTGTTAGTAGTAAAACATGGAAAAATGTTTCTCAGGCTTTAAGAGGATTACATTTATTTTATCCGTAGAAAATCTTTCCAACCTTTGAAAGGAACTGGATTTTTTAAGCAACGGCTTCTAATTAATATTAAGATTCAGTAAACATGTTTTAGAAACAACGGGTGCCTAATTCCTGAGAGGTGTTAAAAGTTTGAAGGAACGTCGAAAAGTTGACATATCACAATTGAAAAAAGAATTTCCACCCGGAATTCAATATCTACAGTTGACTGCATAAATCGTTCCATGCAATTTTTCCCCACATTTCAAACAGAATGTGAGAAAAGTTTGGATTCCAAACTCACTTTTAGTGACAATATCAATTTGTAAGTTGGCACAGACTGTAAGAAAAGATTGCATCTGTTATTCTATTTAGAAAATAAATTCCGCTCACCATGATTTTGCATGAAAACCTATAATTTGCTTTCGTACAAATCCACTCACACACTAATTTTAATACATAATCAAATCACGGAAAAAACCGGCTAACAAAATCTTGTAATATAAAAGAAATAACAAGTGCATTGGTTGTGGGAAAATTACTAAATTTCATTTAAAGCTTTAACATTAAAAAAAATAATCCCTGTCAAATTAACTGACACAATTACCCACCCGCAAAAAACACCATGTTACAACACATACCCCACTTTTTTAAACCAAACAACTTAATAACATTTGTTAATTTATCATAAGCCCACACAAACACGGACACGGCTACATCAAACACAAAGTTCCCTACCACCACCACCGCCACCATTACCTGTCATCACCGGATTTCGAGTACCCTCCGTCACACCCACCTGTTGCCGGCCCACCACCGCCTCCGCCAATCTCATATTCATACCACTCCGATTCCTCCTCCGACCTCTTCGGAGGCAGACATGGGGATCACAACCAACTTCTCTACGCGGAATCGGATATCCTTCGAACCAAACCGGGTTTAACACTGTGGAGCATTTTCAGCACGAAAAAATAACAGATTGGACTAAATTATCCGTATTTTACATACACAAATAAATAATAAAATGCCAATAAGTAGCGTTAAATGACTATGATGATAAGCATAAATTATCACTTTCATACGTTACGCAAACACAAATTTGATCTACACTACAGGAAGCCAAAAAACAACAAAACATGGACATTTCGGTGTCAATGTTGTTTAAATTTGCCTATTTTTTTATTCTTACTAATTTAATCTGCACTTTTTTTACTCTCACCATAACTATTTAGTTTCTAATTCTAATACATACACGTGCTTTATTTAAAATACGAAATATTGTAATCGTAGCGTAAGTGTGTACCTACATGAATTATTTCCTATTTCCTTTACAGCTCGTTTATTTTTTCATACGTAATTTCTACTAATCCATCTTTGTAAAGCAATAATGCCAAAATAAAGTAAATATCAAACTCACCCGTGACTGATCTTATCAACAAAGTTGTATCGTTTTAATTTGAATTGTAACCTGTTTGCATTTTATTGTTCATTCATCACGCTCACCGATATGCATTAACAAACTCTACGAAAATAAACATTTTCAAACAGTGTATAAAAAAAGTACAAAAATATAATGTCAATGCTCTCACCATCATTTTCTCTAATATTTCATAAAAATAATTGCTATTCCAAAGCTTGCATTTAAAAAAGTATTCATGTTGAGCGATGATGAGTATTTATGTGTATAAGTTATTCAACAACCGTATTTGTTAATAGTAATTTATGGAGATGGTGACCATCGTTAGGAACGCCACGAGGAAGAGGGGTCCGTGACGGGATGAGGGCGCCATGTTGCACAGGTCTCCTCTGCATAAGCACAATCGTGACACCTTGTTGCGAATCTTGACCTCTGCACAGCGTTCTTCCCCATCATTCGGCGCCTGACTGAGACAAGAGCGGTCCGTGGCTGAGCCGTACTCTGAAGTTCATAAAAAGACATTAAATTCCAATTTATATAGCAAGTAATTGCGTAAATATGTAACTTACCATCGGCCGGTCCGCGAATCCCCTCCGTCTGTTTGCGACACCAGCCTGAAGGGCATGGCGTCACGGAGACAGGAAATCCTGGCAAATCCTTGATGGACGTGTCATTGAAGCTGAATGGATCCTTGCAATCTCCTAATTCTCCCCTTGACCGACACACATAGCAACGAGTGGACAATCGACCTGTGTAAGTGGTAAAAAACACTCATTCATAAATCCGACTAAAGTCACCAAAAATAGTGGTCATTCATATTTATTTATTCATTAATAAATTCATGTCTACCTTCACAAACGGCCAGACAGAAAAGTATCACAATTGAAGTAATCACAGCACTGAGATTCATTTCATCAATTGACCATCACTTTGTGTGCCACTTTTCCTCCTTGCTTGCTCTACTCCGATTTCTCTTTACTTCCTCCAAAGATCGGATAGTATGAAAAAAAACTAATCTTTTTCCGTCAACCTGACCTGGAGGGTTTCCACATTTCACCACCGAGCAACAATTCCTTGATTAATGCCACCTTCAAAAAGTATACCTGCATCCAATTTCTTTTTCACAAATTATGCACTTTAGAACACGACAGGAGGCAGAATTCACACGAGTCTATGAATCAATCAACTGGTAGAAGAGTCGTCCCTTTGCCCGAGTTGGTGCAACTGACGGCCATGTATTTCCTGTTCCACTTGATGGGAAATAGTCTGCTTTTGTGAAATTATTTCTACAATTGTGCTCCACCATAAGAAGAAGAAGACAGCTGGAGATTGTCGATCACTTCACGATGATGCACACATGCAACTTTCACTAAACCCCTGTGAAACAATGAACGTCTTGGCTGTGGCCTCTACCAGACTTTGCATTGTTAAGACACTCAACTGGTTTCGCCCAATCCATTGACACAGAATCTCACAACCACAATGTTAGATACCTAGGATGCATCTACTAAAATGTATATCGACCCACAGTGCATAAGTTAGTCAACATCCGTATACAGTATAAAATCGAAGGTAAATCTGGTTTACTAGATCACAAGAATGAGAACCCCGTAGATTTTTTGGTTTCGCTACGATGTTATAATTCCACAAGGACGTACAAGTTTTCGAATCAATTAGATACTTCCTAAATGTGTGGAAATTCGAGACAAATTGAGGATTATACAAGAGAGGTGTGGGGTTTTAATTAAAAACCTGAGTAATGTATGGATGACTTGTGATCGGGTAACCGTCTGTTCCATACGATTGCTGAGGTTTAGTGCAGCAGCAGCAGAATGAATTTTTACAGGTAAAATGTTCTCAATGGCGACTTAAGACCCTGAACATAGTAACCCACTCTCCTCGTAAGATTAGTTATCAGTTGGTACATAGAAGTGTATTGCTTAGTATATATAAAGCAATACATGGTTGCATATTTAGAGTTGGGCAGTCGAATTTACACGGAATCTCTGTCATGATTATAGCCTAATTGTTGCTTCATAATATGCTACTTTGATGGGAAAAATAAGAATTGTAAATTATAGTAAAATGCAAAAATGTATCAAATTTAAAGTAATGTGAATTCATATAGCTTTTATCAAGGGAATTATTTACAATGAGATATTAACGCCCCTTTCAAATCTAGTTTACTGTTGCTCGCATAGTATAAAAACGTGATCACAAAGTGGTGTTAAATAAGTAGGCTAAATGTGAAGCTACCTTTTGGTCAGACAGTATTTTTAATATCTCGTCATACATATACCACTTCTATTAGGTGGTCTATTGTGACTGACTATACGTTGCATGCAAGATTTAATGTACGGATGTATCCTGTGTCAGTATTGAGTGTCGTTCAGTGTGAATAAGCTGTATTAAACGGACGTAACGAAGGGGTGAAGGAATACGCGGAGGCACAAGCTTGTGTCAAAAGTTTAAACAATTTCGACATATTTGACCTTTAATCTCATCAAAAAGGTCATGGGCTAGGTCAAAATCATGGTAATTTTGAATTCTCCATCTTCAAACCGTCTAAAATTGTCAAAAATAAAATTTCGATATTTTTACCTTTAAATCGGGTCATCATAGGTCCAAAATTACTGTCCCGTGACCTGTTTGTCTCTCAAAGTGTTATGAACTTTGACCTGGCGCCTAAGCCTTCTTACCCAAAAGATCACCACACGAATTTGACCTCAGTTCTGCTTCATTGATTAGAAAGAGAGAATTAAAAAAAGTGAATCCTTTCGAAACTTAAAGGGAGCCATGACCGACGGACGGACCGACAGACGGACAGAACCGATGCATAAAGGGGTTTTACGCCTTAATAATGAGATAATGGAAGTGCTATGTACCAGGTAGATTGGAAGGTAGGTAGACAAATGGGAAGGTACTGTGGTCAACGAGACTTAAGGTACATTATGGCACAATGTTGTTATTTCACATTTAGTAGACTCCTGAGTAAAATCCCCTTCCATGTATTTTGTGAATGGAAGGGAATGTATTCCTACATGTATTCCACTCCGGTGATCTCTCTCCCCCACGGAATAGCAGAATTTCACAGAGACAAAAATGCAGGGATAATACCTTCTCCATACGAGTTTACGTAAGAGAGATTTCTTGCAAGAAGGAATATACTACTCCTCCGTGATAAAAATGGTTTCTAGGAACAAATCCCTACGTACATAAATTGGATTATCAAAGGATTCGATTTCTGCAGATTCGCATCAGAACTGTTACATAATTTTAAAGAAGATAAATACGTCTCAACCATTTCCTTGCAGTTACATCACCACCACGTATTATGAAGTTTATAAGTCGTTCAAGTTTAGTATTGAGCAAAATTGCATTAAATAGAGTCGACATTCTTATTAACAATGGGACAAATTTGGATTTGCTTGTCCCACCATTTACTCAACCTTGTAATAAAGGCCATGCTCCACGTTGCATGAATCCGATTATATAATTTTCAAACTTCAGTTTCAGACCAAACAGGTTACGCATATTGTAATTAGAAAGTTGAACGAAAGTGTTGGTTGGTTAGTCTAAAGTTCAACCATTACATATTTCTTAACAGGAAAGCCTCACTACTTGCGAATTACAGATTTCAATCCCGTTTGGAATATGTTGTAGTAGCCCATGAATGTGACTCCATGGCCACATTTTTTCACACTACACCCACTTAAATGGGTCAAAAACACTAAGATTTTTGAGTATTTTCAAAAATTTACCAGTATCTTCGAAAAAGCTAAATTCCAAAAAAGTTGAACTTGATATTGGATAGTGGAAAGCAAGTATCTGGAAGTACAAGAATTTTCAAATCCGAGCAAAATTTTATTTATGGGAGAGGTTTAAATGAGTGAAAACAGTTTTTTCGTATTTTTACCCTTTGAGTAGGTGTGGTAGGGGCAAATGTGGCGATGGGATCACACTTACGGGATACTACATCATACCCAAAATGCATCAAAATCGGATATTGCCAAGTAGTGGAGCTCCCCTGCTTCGTAAATACATAGGTCCTCTCCCTAACCAAACTTTATTCTACATCAAGTAGTTGCATGGGGTCGGTTAAGACGTCAAACAAACTTGACAAATGAATAACTTGGCTTAATTTGAGGCTGCACTACTCGCATCTGTATCCATATCCGCTAATCCTTCAGTTACGATCATTTTACAAGTAATAATAAGGTGCACGAGTTTAGTATGAGCATAAACAAAAGCACATCTTCTTGTTGCTTCAAGGTTTGGCACTACACGTCACACGGTACGTCTGACTACACAATGATGCCTGGACTGCAAAGGACTGTTCTACTTTACAACTGTCACAATTTTGCCATAAACCTACATCCCACTCATCTCATGACATCCAACTCACCCAATCAATGCAGTAATGGTTGTTATTTGTCTCTGTCCAAACAATTTTGAATGAACGTCGACACCGGGCGTCCAGGCCAGAGATCGATACAATGTTTTCATATCCGCCTCGGATTTATTTCGAGATTTCGCAAAACCTTTGTGTTACTCAACGATCAGAGAAAATCGGGTTCATTAGTGAATTTTTTCTTCTATTCTTGGCGGATCAGTCGTCAATTCGTCATGATGCGATGGTGGCAAAAATAAATTATTCAGGAGAAAGCCTGACGGAGAAAGTGCTGATTTACAACAACGTTACTACTTTATGCATACGTCGTGGAAGCAGCGGAATCAATGTCTGCAGAGAAGTCATGCGTACTATCTATGCATCTATAATAGCGTTTATTTCGCTTATCTAACTTCAAAGAATGCATAACATCCATTTACCCAGGAAAAAGTGTGACGTTAGAAATGTTATTGTTGCATTTGACAGTTTTGTTTTCTTCAAAATTGAAATCGTGTTTTGAAATTTTTAGTGAACACTTAACCTTCACATGCATACATACGTAGATGCGATGTGTGGAGGAAATTAAGGAAAGGTCACTAAAATAATTTGTTTGTAGAAAACCACTTCTATTTTTAGCATGCATATCTGAAAAAGTGGTGAGATGATGAAAAACATCTTTGTACAATGCCAAATACCATAAAAGTTATTTCTACTTACAGAAATTTCATTCTCTAAACAAGATATCCGCACAAAATGTGCTTATAAATTGCGTAATATGTACAGTGAATATAATTTTCACATGATTTTTCACTACAAACAAATGGAATGGAATTTCTTACAAACACTAACCTTGCATTTTATGTACTTTGAAGATGCTCCTCCTTCAACCATTGTTGGAACGAAATTGAATGGACGGATGAGCTGTTGAATAAGAAAAAGAGAGAAAGATGTGAAATGCGGTTAAGCGATATGCGAATAGAAACGAATTAACCAGCCCTCTTGCTGGCCGGACTTTTGACGAAGTTGGAAAGCACAATCGCACGACGAAGTGAAAAATGCAGGCTATCTCACTCTGGAAGCAGACCATAGCTGCCTGTGCGAATAGGGCAGAATTTGTGTAAATACTGGCTGACTTTCTCCCACGGGCTCAGTAGTTCGGCAGGAGAAAGGGGTTTCACTGCTCTAGAACCAACCCGAAGAGAAATTGATAAAGCTAGGAAGGAATTTGAGAAAAGTGAAAGTCTGTTTTTGTCTCACCCGTCTCTTCCAATTCGCACTCTTTGCATTTCCTCTGTCTCATTGTCTCGAGAGTAGCTGTTTTCCTCCATTTAAAATATTTAACACAAAGTTCTTGAACTAAAAGTTTTAAAGATTATTGCGAGCCCTTCGCTATTCGGGGATAACTTGTAGTGGATTTAGACTCCGAATGCTTTAAAACGCCTTTCGTGGGAGAAATATCATTCTGCAAAGAGTTGGGAGATACATACATATACGGCCTAAATTTAATTAAAGACGAGCACACTCAGACAGCAGTTGATATTTTCAGACTCGTGTTTCTACTTTCTACACGAAAGAAAGAATTGCAGGTTTGGCAGATTCCGTGGGAAGAAACAAGAACGATCAGTGAAAGAGGGGGAAACCAATTCTACCGAAAGTTGCACAAACTGGAGATTAGAAACCAAGTGAGTCCCGTTGAGAATATATTAAATGCTTCAGAGAACTTTTTCAATTGCATAACTTTGCAGCATTCATTTTTTAGCAAATTTCTTGAGAGTCACGATAATTTGGTTGGCTTCTTGAGAGAAAAGTTGCATATCGTACCTAAATCGCGTTAGTCAAACAATCGCATCAGGATTTAAGGAATTATCCGGATGTACACGTGTGTATTTAAGCATTGCATATTCATAAATTTTAAAATTGCCCCAAAACAAAGCGAGAAACCATTCGTAGCACTGCCATTCACATCAAATTGGCATGTGCTAATTGAGATTTTTGCATATTGTTTATGACCAAAATCGTATAACCAAAATACATGAAATATATATATGCTTACATAGATCTGTCTGGTCATTGATTGAAAATATTGTTGGTCTTTATTGAAAAGCGAGAGATTGAAATTTAATTAAATCAGGAAACTAAGCAAGGTTTCTATTGACATTGACCAATAACCAGATCATAACCAGATCATAACTAGATCATTGTATACTAACCTTTACATGAATTTGACCATCTGCACGCTAGTCTAGTCGTCAAAGGTACTCGATGACTTCGCCCACTTATTTTGCACACATATGGCCTCGATTTTCTCAATGGAACAATTCTACTCAAATCTGACCTGTCACTTGCTGTGACTTAAATCTATATGCCATTAGTTTACATAACACTCAGCATCGCTTTATCCAATCCACGATGTGTGGCTTTCTTCTCCTTCTCCGTCGCCGTATTCTTCATTATTTCCCTCGTAATAAATAGCGTCCATTTCACGGAGAATGATGAAAGAAAGTGTCCTCGCTGTCAGAGACATTATATAATTTGTAAACCACAAGCAACCAGTCAAGCAGTCAAGTTTCATAATTTTCTTTTATAGCTTTAGGTCGCTTTTAATGCATAAAACATGCTCCGTCCACTTCGTATTCTTTCTATGGCCAGAAGCCTCGAAAAATTTATTGGATGAGAGAAATCCTTAGCATTTGGCTTATGTAGGTAGGTAGACGACTGGACAAAACTCCGCATCATTTGTCCCCAAGAATTTCGCCAAGTTTCGTGAGGAATTATAAATCAATATCCAAAATGTCCCTTTTGAAGATATGTGATACGATTATTAAGTGACCAAGTCAATAAGAATGTATTCCAGACTTGTATGGTTATTGGCTATTAAGGAATGTTTTCGGGATTATTAAATATTTTATGGCAGGATGTCTGGTATATTTTTGCCCCATTTTCTTGGTCCAATGATATGCACAAGTCACTACTTGTGATGGGGTGCTACAATGGATAGAATCATGTCAATTTTCTTGCAGGAGATTATCAGAAGGGTGTGAATTTTGTAAGATTCTTATGGATGGAAGGCATTCGTACATGTCAGCTTCAAAGTTCGCACGATTTATTAGAAGATGCACTGCTCGTTTATCATATTCAGAATACGTGTAGCTGTCGTGTAGCATATTGTATGAATTTACTTATTCGCATAGGAAGTACATCCAAGGGTTATTTCTCATTTTAAATTACGCCCCCTTCTTCCTGGATATTTTGTAGCTCTACATTTTCATGCCGATCAGTATTTCTCGCTCGTAATTTTTCCCGTGCAAATAAGCATGGACTAATTTTGTTAGAAAATTTGCCAATTTGTAGCAAACGTTAAGTTGGCAATCTTCTGCTGACAAGGCTTCATTTGTCAGACGCATTTCAAAATCTCGTGCGCTAGAGTTGCTGCTAATGATTCTTGTTTTTAAAATGTCTCAACGTAACGTTTGCAGATTTATGTTAGTTTTTTAGTGAAAAGTTGTTGTTCTGTTAAAATAAAGAGGGGGCATAACTAGGAAAATCAATTTGGATTCATTTTACAAGAAATTCAGCACAGGAAGTGAAAACTAAATGAGAAACAGGTTATGAAACAGATAGATAATTTTATTTATTTCGCTCTCTCTCAAGCATAATTTCAGGTCGTTTAAAATTACCACAAGTTTAATTGGTTTTCTTGCAGAATAAATAATTTAAATGGTGACGGCGGGTTGTTTTCAAGGTTATCCCACCTTTATTGGTGACTCACACTGGCTTCCTGTGTATTTAGGTGTTTTGTATAGCTCGAGTTACTTAAATTCGACTAATGTAATTACACTCCCACTTTGAACAGGAGTAGAGTGCTTGGTTGGTATTGCGTTCTTGTTACAAATAGTGTTATAATGGGATAATTAGAGGAAAAGTTGTACATCTCCAATCCCAAGTCTTTTGATCGAAGTGTAATTACAACTTTGTTTTACTTGCGTGCTTTTCCCATCCAAATTTGTGGGTTCTCAGAAACAAGAATTGGCGAACTCTTTACTCAGCAAGACCAAAATTTAGAGTGAAGACAAAATGTGTTTAAGCTGGTAAATTGAATGAGCTGAAGCTTTTTGCATTTGTGATGAAATTGTGCTACAGACCTTGGTCTGCAAGGAAGAAAGGTCGTCCCGATAACATGTTTGCTTGGAAATTAAATATTTAAATAGTAGTGCAGTTCACGGGCCACATAGAGAAATTTGCCGTAGAAATGTGGGCGATTTTGGAGAAAATACATCAAATTTTCACGCAAGTCTCATTTAATGAATTTTACAGTTGTTATCACATGCAAATAGGTAAGGTTTTGAATCTGAATCAACCTTGTTGCTGTATTCCAATTCCACAAACCCATTAGTCAAGGGTAAAAACTAATGGGGAAGGGACGAAGAGTTGTGGTAGTCGTGGTGCGCCACGAAAAATATGCTGAGCATGACCCACTACCTACCGTCTGCTAAACTAATATTTAAATAAGGCACTAATTTGCAGAGATCCGTGATTAATGAAATTTTTTCTAGGATTAAGGATTAAGGATTAATGTTATTCCGGGATTAGATTAATCCGGGATTAATTAAATAATTCAATTTGGTGGGATTAAGGATTAAGGATTAATTCAAAATTCTCTGAGATTCGGGATTAAGGATTAAGGATTAATTAATCCTGATTAATTTTTGATTAAGGATTAATATTATTATTATTTTACTGCATTTAATGCAGTTTAATTGTTTATTGTAGCACATAGGAATATTGAAACGTCAAATACATACAAAACGGACAATGTATAGGACTTTTGCATGTAAAATGTGAAGTAAAATTTGATGTTGGCCTAATATTCACACCAATTATGGCACACATTATGCGCTTGGCTCTAGAAAGAGCCGCTCAATTTGTTCGACATCAAATAATCTGCCGGTGAAGATGAATGGCATATCTTTCAGGCATACTTTCCCACCACCATGTCAACCATGATTAACGACTGAATCAGTATTTTTACGGAAGCAACAATTTAAAGTTAAAGAATTCAACACATCTTAATTTCGCGAGAGGAAAGTTGAAAGAGTGGAAAAATATCATATGGTTGAGAATATGTAATGTAAGTGTTACTTCACTTCATTCGCAGTGATTATTCTCTTGCGAGACTTAATCCTAATCGTGATTAAGGATTAATAATTTGGATACGCTTTGTCGGGATTAAGGATTAATGATGTGGAAATATTTCGTCAGGATTAATGATTAAGGATTAATTGCATACAATTTTTTGTCGAGATTAAGCATTAAGGATTATTAATCCTTAATCCCAATCCTTAATCCGTAAATCAAGATTAATTAATCATGGATCTCTGCTAATTTGCAATATTATTCAACCGGTTACGAAAGAAACTGCTGATACCGTTGAGATAATAAATTGCAATATTGCGAACTTTCTCTTATTGCGTAGATCGGTCCTCACAATGCAACAATTCTCACAATGGGAACACTTTAACTGGCAATTTATAATTTTCAAAAAATCAAACAGCTTATAAAAAAGTTGTTATTCCTTGTGCATGATGATGCTTGACTAAAAGTGTGGATCATATGCAGTGGCCGAGTGAGTGGTCACAAACACGTATCATAAATAAATACATACATAGATTCGGAATCTTGCCAAGTATTAAACTTCATACGTACACACCCACTCCGCAGAAGTGTGTATATTTACGTATACATTAAGCTATGTAGTTCTCTTGGCGTGCAGCAATTTATTTCCCGTTTAAAAGGTTTCTAGCAATTCATCATTGAATGAAGATGTCAGCCGCCCACAAATCAATTTGCCAAACCTCCTCCTGACATTCGCAAATTCACATATTTCATAGAATTTATTTCCTCAACAAGACCGAGTGATGATGTATTGGACGATTGCTTCTAATTTTTGAGTCCGTATGAAAAACATGTATTTCACTCGTGTGTGCATGTTCTCAGTAAAACTCTGAAAGAGGTGAAAGTGAGCGAAGGCTGAGTGATTTCTCCCTTCGCCTGCTTCCTTTCTCTTGTCGAGACGACGACGACTGAAATCACCGACTTGTATCTTACCAGGAAATATGTGTTTTTTTCTGGCATTTGGCGAGGTTTGCCTTTTTTGTGGGGCATAATACATAAATAAAATTGAATGTTAGTCCCCTTTAGTTGCACAGCACGTCATCATCATGATCGCCTTCTTTGAAAGTAACCTTCAGTTTTTCAATATTAATAATCTGCCAGCATGTGCCCGTGTTTTGTGACGGTGAAAAGGGGACTTTTTCGCAAGAGCAATGTCTCCCATTTCATTAACGGTTTGATTCCGCATTTGATGGTGAATAGTTGAAATGTTGGGTGATTGAACTTATCATGATGGGAATTAGCTTAACTACCGTCTGAAGTGAAGTGAAGGAAGGGAGATACCTGAACCAGACACGAATTCGATGATGATGACAGAACAGATAATCAGATGGCATCGATCACTCGAAATGTTCACAAAGGGAAATAAGTAGCGTGGGCTGGGTGCGTCTCAGCGGTGGCCTTTGTACATGTCTGATTAGCATGGGCCTTATTTGATTCAAGAGAGTAATGAGTCTGTACCATAAGCGACTTTTTCACTGAAAATAAGAAATGAAACATTGACAAATTCTCCAAGGAACGGGGTGAGACGATTAATTCAATACTTGACTAAAATTAGTTTTATTGAATCAAGTGTGCGACAGATTGATGGAAAGATTGTACACGACGAATTAGCCGGTAGCAATTCATTGCAATTTCCACCAACCGTCCATGTAAAGTAGTTACATCCAATTTTCCACCGTTTGCGTAAGGGTGCAAACACTACGATAAAAGCTTTCACATGTTCTCGGCTTCTCTGCAAATATGAATGAACAACTTACAATTAGACTGTGAAGAAGAAGCCGTATGCACTAATATTATGCAGCAGCAGTTGTTCCAAAAGTTTGATTTGGAATGTATAATCATTTTCTAGCCTGGAATTGCTCTGTGATGAAGCAACGAATCAAGTTGTGTAATAACTTCTTCTTGACACAATTTTCTCTAAATAATTTGTGCAATGATGGCTGTTTGGAAGGCTTGTAGGTGGTTATTTGAGTTGGCTGTCATCGTTTTTTAGTAATGAGTCCTCATAAGGTGTATTGCCACTGCGGGAACGTAGTAATTATTCATCATAAATTATGCATGTAATAGAAGGGTGACGATAATACGTGGTGTTATCGTTTGTGCTGAATATATTTAATTACGGTCATTAAAGCAGGAATCAATGGCTTAGTTTCAAGATTCAAACTGCAATATGGATATTTGTTGAAATTATGCGTAAAGGCGAAATCGACTGACTCTAAATACGACATTTATTTTAATGTGGTACGAATTAATAGATAAGTACATAGATTAGTTGGCAGTTTTGCTAGGATGTGGGTGGGGGAATTTTAAAAATTTGCACATTTTTGGCGAAATTAGAATACAAAACAGACATTAAAGAGAGGTAGTCAATGATTTTGGACGTTAAAAAGCCTTGAAATATGCACAAATCATGTATTTTAGATGCGAGAAAATAAATAAGTAAGTCTCAATTTTCAAGTGGTTTCCTACTCATGAAGATACTTTTGTGATTCGATCGGTTCTATGATTCTTCTTCACTACACATTATCCTTTCCAACTTTCATGCACTTTTCCAACCGGCAGTAGGCGTTTTGATCCACTCGTCGTGTAATACTTTGCAAAGCTCATGCGTGTTTCTCTTGTATACCCGTTGACACTTTATACCCTTTGATCTTGCTCGGTGTTTTCAGTAGCCCAATTATTTCCGGAATAGTGCTTCTCCAGCACTCCAGCGCTTAAATAATCTTTTGCATTTCTAAACCTTTGTTATTGAAATTTCTATATACGAGTAAATCTTATCCTTAGTAAGTCGTCGTATCTTGTGTGTGAAAATCGTCAGGCCTCTGGGCACCCTAAGCACTTCTTCTCACGTGGGAGGCAGTGGAAACTGATCCTTTTTATCTCTCGGCATCTTTCATCTCATATTCTTTAACAAGGCACATCATCAATTTTACCCTTGTATATTTTTCTGATTAGTGTAAACGTGCCTTATTGTCCTAGGGAACAACATGAGCTCCCTTATGAACCTCATGAACTCTGTGGAGGATCACAATCCCCCACTTTCCACCTGGAGACACAACGACTCATCTTTTTGGGAGTCACCACTCGCCAACATTCAACTCTCGGACGGTCATGACCTCCTCCCGTTGCATTATTTGGTCACGGAAGCCACGCAAATTGCCCGGAGCAAGTCTCCCACATACAACTGGCTTGAACTGTTTTGGATCTCAATTTTTGGAGCCATGTTGACTGTGTCCATCGCTGGCAATTTGACCGTCATTTGGATCATTTCATGTCACAGAAGAATGAGAACTGTAACAAATTACTTTCTCCTTAACCTCAGCGTTGCGGATCTTGCTGTGAGTCGTCGAACAATACAATGTTTCCAAGGACTTGACAATCTTTGTATTTGATCATCATGTCATTGTGTCGTGTGTGATTGCTTGCGGGTTGATGTGATATTTGTTTAACTTTCAGATGGCTTCCTTCAACGGAGCTCCCAATTTTGTGTACATGCTGAAAAAGCAAGTTTTTTTCGAAACTTTCCCCCTTAATTAGAGGAATTTTATATAATAATAATAATAATAATACTGTTTTGGTTACAGTGACTGGTTTTTTGGAAAAATGTTGTGCGTGGTGAACAATTTCACGGCCAACTGGACAGTGGCTTCCTGTGTTTTCACGATGACAGCAATTTCAGTGGATCGGTAAGTTTTATCCTAACGGAATGAGACTTTCTCATTTTGCACAAGTTAAGGAACGAAATTGGGTGTGGGAGGTTGTCCTGATGCTATATATATACACTCGTTGTCCAACTTTGTCACTTTGTATTACTGGATTAATACTAAATAGAGCCGACTTATTGGAGCAATCAGCATCAGTTATTTTCTCTCTCTCTCGTGCGTTCTTCCTTCTCGAGAATGTCTCATGCCCGTGAAATTGGCCTCGTAATATGTTGTGAATTACAGTCACACTAATTCCGACAGACTTGGTATTTTCTGAGAAAAGTTGTACTACACACATACGATCCGAGTAACCTAGTAAAAGTCTCATTTTCCCACAAACTCTGTCAAGTCGTGATACTGGCCTAAGTGTAGTTTAACTCTACCACAAAAGCAGTATGAGTTTCCAGTTGGACACCATGATCCATTTGCTTTCTCCTCGCATATAACTTGTCGCAATACATATGCGGTGGAATTGAAATGTCATTTATCTCTGGAAACAAGCAATAGCACTTTGTTCTCTTTTCCTGTCATTTTCATTTGCTGTAATTTTTCTTGCCCAGAGTACGGCACAGGATATTTGTACATACACGATATTGACCTATGAAACTGTGACATTAATTCTCAAAGGCACCAATGTTGAGCAAACAGATGGAAAAAATATACGAAAACATTTTAGTTGGACCCGTTCCGTTCAACAATATAATAATTCCTGACCTAAAATTGATCACAATTTCAAATATTTATACTATTTTTCTACTTCATAAAAGTACTTTTGCCTCGCTTACAGGTGGATTGCTATTGTGAAACCTCTGGAGCCAAGAATGACGAAAACTACATCTTGGCTTGCAATTCTTGGCATTTGGATCGGTTCTTGCATTCTCGCGAGCCCAGCTCTTCTGTACACACAACTTGTAACTGATAACCGAAGCATGGCTACTCACTGTTTGATTGTCTGGCCGGATGGGTTGGATCCTACCAACTCGAAATATGAATTTGGGTATGTCGAAGACATGTGTATTTACATATTTCCAGGGTTGCTTTCACCACTCACATTTATTTTACATTCCCCCTGCTGAGAAACTGATTGAATTCTTGCACCAACCAGAGACAAACATCAAACATCCCATTTTTTTCTAAATGCTTCCATAAAACGTGCCACTTTTGCCTGTTCGATTACGATTCTCGTCCTTGGAGTTACATCGAATTTACATAAATATACATAAGCGTAGGCATAATTACTTGTCGGATGTTGAATAAGGACAGATTATTTATAAATTAAATTAACGCTTGCATTCCCATTTTTTCCCCAAGGTACAACATATGTCTCTTGGTCTTGACGTATTTGATTCCGATGACTGCTATGGCCATCTGCTACGGCTCGATGTCTTGGGAATTGTGGTTTACACAGGTTGGAGAAATCACTCAACGTCAAATCAACTCAATGATTGCTAAAAGAAAGGTAAGGAAAGACGCTTTCTATTCTTGTCGACGATTGGGCCGACCAACCACCACCAGCACCGCCACGACTGCTGCGAGGATGATATTCGGTTGTTTGTATGATTAATGCAAGCACACACACACCCGCGTATAAAGCTTTATTCGATTGAGAAAATGTGGAGGAAGTAGTTTCTTAAAGATTTATTGCATTCTGGTGCACAGCATTAATGATAATGGACGAATCTCGTTCGACATGGTGCTCCTCTCGCCATAGCAAATATGGCATATTTTACACTCACAATGTGAGAATCGATTTTTCTTGCCGAGCAAAGAAAACGTAAAGCAAACAATGATAGCAAACAGCATATTTTGGAAACATGGATATGTTCTAAAGCTGGGTTCAAATGAACCATGTAGTCGTGCGAACCTTAGAAGACGCTCATTTTCCCATTTTCCGGAATTACTTATTCCCCTTTTCTCCAAGTAACCTGGGCCGAAAAACAGGCCTCACCTCCATTAAATGGGAGGCTTCTTCTTCGGGGCATATCATTTCTTATGCAATGATATGTTGCATTATGTAAGAATTAACACTATACTATTTGCATAAGCCGCAAAATATACGCACATACAGACATCATTATGCAAATATTGTGAAGAACTTTGTTGGCATGAAAAGGAAAGATTATTCGGGATTAAGATACAAACAATGCGTTATATAAATAAGTATGACCAGAGGCAGATGCAATATCAATTTGCGACAGATAGTAGATAAATGAGCTCATTACGTGAGTTTACGGTCACAACAAAAGATTAAAAAAAACATGGACCAACAGCATTGTTTTCTCCCCCACGGACGGACATGTTGTCATTGACCGACATAAATTCATAAATTTTAACCTTTACCACCAACCCACTCTCGTAAATATTATACGATGAGCGAACAAAATTAGATTAGCGAGATGTCTTTCAGATTTAATTCAATTAGGACGCTCTGCTTCATTATACACGAAAGAAGGCTGGTTGATTTTTTTCATGTTGTCCTTATTGGGATTAAGATGCAGAACACGCCGTCTTCACGTGGAGTGCAGGCTACAGCCTAATCTGTCGTTTCATGCACAACTAATTGCACGTAGGGAAAGTAAACCACCACTCTGAGCATCAGGGAAAGCACAACTACTCGGCTCATATTCTGTAAAAAGTCGAGAGTAATCTGTCAAAGGCAGCAAACAAAACTCAAACCAGCTCAATTTGTGCCGGATAAATTTTTGAGAAACCTTGATTCAATGGTTTCGGTGAGTGTTCGTCAAGCACTAAGTTTTAATGTGGCGCTTATAGTTTTTCAGAGCAGAATCTGAATATCTATCAAAGTAGATTAGGAGAGATGGAGCAGAATCAATTTATGATGAAAAATCGAAATTCTCTTTCCACATTTTTTGAAACAAAGTTCAATTTGACAGTCAAATTAAACTTAAACGGTGAGATTATGAAGGGGTTAGTCAAAATTAAGGGCTCGAATAAAATCCGGCGGCATGATCATTAGATCATTGTCGCAGACATACTACAAAAGAAGCGTAATTGAATTTTACATGCTGTTTTCAAGCTTTTTTGACGAAACAAAGCCCCGTTGGGACACAGGGTTACGTATCATGATAAAACATCACAGATTTGTTGAGAATGATTAATTTCACGTCGAAATTAACTGCCTCGTGAACAAAGTAGTAGAAACCTTTCTCCAAATTAATTAGTTGTATGTTTTCAGGTGGTTCGAATGTTCATTCTTGTCGTTGTGACTTTCGCCATTTGCTGGTTGCCATATCATGGATATTTCATCTACATGCACATTGATAAAACGGTTATTTACAAGAAATGGATCCAGCACTTGTATGAACTTATTTTCATTGTGTGTACTAATTTACATATTAGGCAACGTGGTCATTCATGCTACTATTTTCAGGTATCTCTCCTTCTTTTTCCTCGCCATGTCACAGTCCGCGATCAACCCGATTATTGTCATCGGCATGAACAGTAGATTTCGAGGATATGTCACTGAATTTTTTTTCCACTGCACCCGACGCCGATGTTGCAACCAGAATCCGACGCCTCACACGGTCCATTATGTTGCTGCTACGCCTCCTCTGCTTCGACGGTACAGCCAGTCCTGCTCTCACAGTCGGTCAAAGTCTCGGTCTGGAGGTAAGGTCACTTCTTCCGTTTTATGGTTTGCTTATGTTTTACAAGATTTTCCAAATAACTTCCACCCTCGCTTTCGGTGTTAATTACGATCCGACCTTTCACTGGTATTTGAGAATAATAACTTGAACTTTTAAAATCAACAAGAGCATTTGTTTGCCCTCCGTAAACTTACACGTAATACAAACCGAAATACTCCCAAAATCTTCAACTTGATACATCTTGCATAACATGTATTACTTAAAAGTGAATCATTACTTGGTTACAGAGCAAATTACTAAAAAAACCAAACGGCTAAGAATTTGTCCTTACTCTTGTTGTAGGAACAGTCGATGACAACACCACGAACGGCCCAAACTATCATAATGGACGGTCCAACGGGATTCGAAAGAAGAACATGTACGTCACCACTAATCGTGAAGTGATTAATTTGAACCACGCTTATGAGCTGACTGCAAACCACTCAGCAGCCAGAGGACCAGTGTCCTCTCGCACGACGTATTGTTAATCTGGAGTCAGTCGTCGTTACGAAGTGGACGACTTCAAAGAAAGCAGGATGAAGAAGCAGAACAAGAAAGTCAAGAAGTTTGGTTGGTTCTGTAGCTGCTACTTTTTCTGTGCATTTGTCTGTGCACATCTGTTTTCGCTGACATTCGTTACCTTACACTGTTATTACTCGAGTACTGTACGCAATTTCTCAGCACAGGGTTGACTGTCTTTTGACTGATATGTGATTAATTTATAAAATTTTGGAAGAAAAAAAAAGTTATATTTCCTGGTGCCAAAGTCATGACTGAGAGAAAGTTATACATGTCGTGTCAACCTTACCCTTAATATTTTGTAGCATGCCGTTATTGTACTTATGAACTATACATATACGTATGAAAGAGATATTATATTGAATAATAAGCTATCTATATTTCTGTAGCAGCAATACGGATATTCGACCGACAAAAGATTTATTTCCACGTGGGTGCATGTGGAGGATAGATTTCGAGCAACAATGGGTCCATTCTTATTTACTCGGGTGTCAAAAATTTGGCACTTGTCGTTATTCTCATTGATAGATATTTTTGACAAGTGGCATTGTAGAAGAGGTAGCAGTTACTTCCTCTGTCGGGTTAGTAGTAACGCGCTATTTACACAGAAATGGTTACAAAATCAGTATTTATGCCGTCAGTTTTATAATTAATTTTGACGTTTGCTTGATTTAACCAGAAGTGCATACATGGTTCGAAATTCATTTATGTGATAATGGAGAAATGATTCGCATACTATTTGATTTTTTTAATATGCAAATATTTTTTTATTTTGCATAAAATCTATGCATACCGCATAACTATGTACAGGACAAATAACACAATATAAAAAGGAATACAACAATATGGTAGATTTCAATGCCCCACACATGTCATACAAGATACTGTATAAACTTCCATTCACACTTATCAAGAATGTTCCCAACTTTCCCTGACTTATCAAATTTTCACCATCATGCGACATTTAGGGACATGAAATATTCCACAATTCTCTCTCTCTTGCATGGAAACCTGTCACCAGGCATCATCCGTGCGGTTGATTACACCAAGAACAGACGACGACATCGACTGATGACCGGCGAGGTAGGTCTCCTAGGACTTTTTGGTATCCTGGTGACACACAGAGAAAGCCAGAGTCTGTCAAATATCTTCAAAATCAGAAGGAATAGGATCACCCCGCCGGAGTTTATTGATCACCTGCAAATCATAAAATATGACACTGAATCCATCATTTCAAACTGCCTTTCCGCTGACAGGTGCACCAGACCAAGGCAAACCAAATTCTCCCACCAATCACCAGGTAGGAAAAACCCGTTGCTACGCAAGAATAAAGTCAAACAGAGCCTTGCATCTTGATAAATAGGTAATGAATCATGAATCTCCGTTTCGTTCGTACTCATTCAGATTTGATATTGAATAATGATTCAGTTCGAGATAGGAAGAAAGTAGTTCAACAAGGAGAAAACCTCATGAAAAATACATGAGCTATAGTGGTTGGATGAAAGTGAAAACCTTACATTTTTAAGTCGAGCAACTTCCTTCGACTCGGCGTTTCGCGTCGCCCCGTTCGTAACCTGTTTCACCCGAGTCGCATACGTGAGGGACATTATCGTCTCGTCCACATTATAATTGGATGGCGACACGTTAACGAACATGAGCGTTTTTGCGTTTCCTCCCAGACTGTCTTGCATGAGGAGGGTCAACTTATTATTTCTGGGGAAAAATAAATATATATTTCTCATTAGAAAAAAAAAGATTTTCTGTGTCGTGTACCGTACGGAAGTCGGGTTGTGTAAGAGTCGGATAAGGGTCGTGAGACTGTTATGATGGTGTCTCTTACCTGTATGGCACGAATGATTGGTCGCTAGTTAAGGCATTAATAACGTCGCCGAAAGCTGACAAAGATTTGTTGATTGCGTTCGCCTCTCGCAACGTATCAGCGGAAACTCCAGATTTTCCAGTCCTTTCACTCCCAGCCAAGTCCACCAAACTTATCTAATTCACGAAAAGTATTAAAGAAGTTGAAATGCCCGGATGTTATGAGAGACCAGACTTCATGTTGATAATTTATTATTATGTTTCCTCCCAAGATTTATAGATAAGCTCAAAACTATGTGACTCGCTCCCAACTAACCTTTCCGCGGAGGACGGTTCCATTAACTTTGGAGGTGGATTCAATAACAAGTCCAATTATAAGGTGAGATCTCGAGCTCCTTTCGTTCATCCGTGTGCACGCGGTGTGGCGAGAGTTCAGAGCTTGCTTAAAACATTGATTTAGACTCACGCTGTCTTCCGCTGGGAGCACTCGGGCACCTGTTAAAAAATAGAGATTTAACGGGGGAATACGGATCCTCAGTTTCCGATTCGAGATACGTAAATAGTTTTTGAGTTAAACAAACACGTGTCGTTCATCCATCATCTCGTTTCTACTAAACATGAGAACGTCTACTACGTAGTTATCGATAATTCAAGAATTCAATAATTTGTGAGAATTTTAAACTTTATGAAAATTGGTTGGATATTGTTTTTATGAATGATGAACATGTGGCATGCAAACATTGCTTAATAATTATTCCATAGCTGTTGATATGTTGAATTATTTTACAAATATGCCAATTGTCATCTCTTTGGAAAGCTACCCATATCGCGATACAACTGCTAGAGCTGCAGCTGCTGCTTTCACTCCACTTAATAATACGTATTCTTTATTTAAAACAATACGAGGATTGTAACTTGTAGTGAGAAGAAGTGAAATTTTATATGTTTTCTATTCTTGAATTATTCATTTCTTCCCGGACCTGGATTCGTCCATCCATCTCCCCAAAAAACCACCCCCACCCACCATAGGCACCACCACATAACCTGTTACTAAATACGCTACTATACGTAGGTCCACTTCTGTCTGGCTGGATCTGCTGCGAGATCTCATGAATTATTAATGACCACATTCAGTAGCAGTATCTAGTCCAAGGATAAGAGACAGATGCTATCATCACTTACGACGACGAGCACGGACGTTGAATGGTTTTTGGACCATTTGAAAAAACATGATCCCTTCTGATAAATCAAGCTCAGTGATGCATGATACTCACCTGCCACCCAAACCGTGCCGCGTCGATCCTTCCTGATTTCTAATCGATCACAATCCGTCCCATTTGGGTTGAGCAGGTCAATCAGTTTGTCATTGTATAATTCCAGTACGTAGAACGAAACGGTCGTTTCGTATGAATGGGAAGTTTCCTTTGCAATCGAAAATATCTCAGAGAAAGTCCTCGGGGCAATCCCGGGATTGATTTCATCTCCGAGAATGGTGTACGTTTTACCACTCCCTGTCTGCCCATAGGCACAAATGCAAACGTTGTACCCATCAAAGGCGGATTGGATGAGGTTCTAAATGAAAAAAAAACGCAAAAGTTTTGTGTTATTAAGTTACTGACGAATCGAATTGATTTAAAATTACATGCGAGAGGGACTGGCTCTCTATCTATAGCTAACGGCACGTGTACATATGCAAATTAATTTGAAGTGAAGGACTACAGCCTACAAGGACACGTACATATGTTACATCCTCGCACGTGGACCTTCACAATCTTTTTTGCTACACTGATATTAAGCAATTCTGACATTCCATTACGCACCAGACACATTTCGGCTAAAACGGATTATCATAAACCATTCGGTTCATTCTGCGCGTTGGAGAAGCACTTAAAAAATTGTACCAACTAATAACCTGCCCTGAATTGGGTAGAAGTTAAAGAAACGTGAGCTTCTCCACGTGAAACCTGAGATTTAACCTTGAAATTCGACTAACGTCTTTTGAATTTCACTGCTTTCTTTTACTCGCAGACAAAGATTTCAAGCTCTTACTGTTAAGTGCTAGTTATGCATCTTTCCCTTGAAAATTAAAGTAAAATATGGATTTAAACTTATTCGCCGGTCTGCACAACTCCTGAAGGCGGTGACACTTGGTGAGAGCCCTTGACAAGTAAAGCCAGCACAATAAATACATCAAAGCAGACGAGTCGGCACATAAATACCTGCGTGTCACAGAAAACTTGCTCTTGGCACTCCTCGGGCGTGAAGACGCGATCAAATTGGAACTCTTTGTGTCCTTTGGGAGTGTCGACGGATACCGTGTAGGGGTCGGATGGTTGGGCAATCACGTCGGAGGCCTTCTCATTCTTCGCCAAGGGTCTGATTCGGCAAAACACGCGGATTTTTCCTTTCAATTCCTCCACCATATTGTAGAATCTCTTCCGTAATAGTTTTTCTCGGTAAAAGTCTTCCTGGAGGACGCGATTTGTCTCCAAAATCGAGCCCAATTCTTTCTCGAATTTCAATATCTTCTCCATTGACTTGTTGTGCTCCTTTTCCACCTGCGGAGAGAGCAAACAAACATTATAACTGGGAAATGGGATCGTGTGCACCCAAGAAGAAACAATATTTGAACTGTTGCCACTTATTGAAACTCTGAATGCACTGCGAGTGAGTTTTACTTTTAACATGATTAAAAACACATATTTATTTAAATTATACGTACATTGCGTTGAATAACCTCTTTGTTTACAGAGGTGAACTTAACCATGCACATACTTGTGCATATATTATGCAAGAGCATTAGCTTGGATTAATAAGTACGTAGAGTACAGCCTTTGGTCATATTTGCATTAACAGACGGTTTCTGGGCAGTACAACGGAAGTATGAAGGAGTCTTTTCTTCCAGCCTTTTCAACAGGTTCCGGGATATTAATGTAGAAAAAACATGTATTAATGTAAAAGAAACGGGGATTATTAATGTGAAAGACTGACTCCTGGCTATAGAAACTTAATCTGATTACACATATTAACAGAGCATTATATAAATCATGTGTATTACGAACTCCAGACATGTTCCAAATTTAATACGGAAAGTAATTTATAATGTGCCCTTTTAACTAACAAGATGGGCTTATTCACATTAAAATAGGATCATGCTTAGCTATTGGAATGGATGCTTAGGTGTCTTTCATATTTTTTTTCTAAAAATAATTATAATATTGTGTTTACAAAATAAATACTAAATAAACAATGAATTTCTCCTTGGTTGAAAGTCACGTATTTGGAGGATTCTGTATAAATTGAGACGATATTACTCAACCGAGGTCAAGCAGTTGTTATGATATCACAAGAATATGATATTAAAGGTCAAGCATTTCCTCCCATTATTAATGTGTGTGACATGTACATAAGTATGCTGCATGTCCGATTATGCACTTGTAACTTTATCGTAAGATGTAACATTGTATTTTCTCCATGAATCAATGGGGATTTATTGAATATTCACCATTGCATCCCCGAAATAGAAAAGAATGTTATTTTAATCAAGTTTGGCTGACTTCCTACGCAAGATAACTATTTGGGATCATTATTTATCTTTCTACGTAGAACTGACGTCCCAAGAAGAGAATATTAGTTCCCAGAAAACATTAAACATGTAAAAAGATCTGGCTGATATTTCTCCGGATTATATTTTCATTCGTTACGCAACGCAACGACGCGACACTTGTGGACACAGAAATCTGCATCCCTAGCGAATCAACGGCATACAGATGAATTTAAAACTCACTTTTAGATGAATAACGTTGAGATCTCCCTTAAGTCTTTTATTCTCTTCATTAAGTGTGTCCAAATCCAGTTTGAGAGCCGAGGATTCTTCTTCTTTGGCAAGAATGCATTTCTCGGCGGACTCCAACCTACGCTGAGTGCTTTCAAGTCGATCCTCCAGCGACCGAATATTCCGTTCGTAGGTGGTTTTACATGACTCTTGATTCCTTGCATTCCTCAATTCCAACTCCAGCTCGCGGATGCGGGCCTGGTAATCGACTTCCTTGGAGTGCAGGTCGTTGATTAAGGACCTAGCAAAATTGTAGGAAATTTTCATATCAGGTTACATTCCACCGTAACAGTCGTATTACTAAAACATGGAGAAAATCTCATCCGATTTTCAGGAACTTATAACCTGCTGTTTTTTTTCTTACTACTTACTTTCCCCTCTATTTTTCTAACTTGTTTAATGTCAGTAGTGCAAGCTTGTGACGCAAGCTGGATATTAGTTACAATTGGAAATCTGATATGTATTGCATGGATAGAATGACAATTATATTATGCGAGCGACCCATACCTCAACTGCTTCAACTCGACATTAGCCTCGCTGTTTGTATGGGCAACTTTATATGTTGACTTTCTCCTCAGCTTGAGCTCCTCTTGAGACGACGAGCCAGTTGAGGTCGAGTTGATTCCCCCAACACCCTCGTCTGACGAAGTCGAGCCGGTCGGGGTGGGCGAAGGGGAGGCTGACGCGAGCATGACGGTTTTTGTCCCGGAGCTTATCGTCACCGTTCTGTGACCGGTGGGGGGAGAAGTCACATTTTCCGACTTTTCCAACCGGTACGTCGTGCTGTCCGAGATTCGTGCAGATAACTCGGCGAGTTTTGATTTAAGCGTAAAATTTTGTAAGGTGAGTTCATCTCTGACTCGTTCTAATTGCACCTGGAAGGGAATTCATAATCAGAGTCAATACACCTCGGGAAACAAATAGTTCATAGTTTAGTAGCTACAGGTGCCAAATTAGGTAGAAATGTCTGTCAACTCTAAGGTAAAAAAAATCTAAAAAGCGTTACAAAGTTCGTTTAAACAACATATTGCATAACCATTCAAGTTTTTTTCAAAAAAATTGTTATATTTTGAATGGAATGACAAGTCTGAGGACCATGCACGTACATACGAGTACCTGCATTGTTTCATCTCTCGTGAAGCACTAAAATTATATGATCGAGCGTGGTGGATAACCTGAGTAGAAAGTTGTATAATTTGCAGAAAATGTGAATTAGATTTATTCATCTTCTCGCTATTGACTGTGACGGAGATGAATGAGTCGACAACACTTTTTAGATAATAAGCGTGATGAACCTTATTTGTACTTCTTAAGCATCATTAGCTTCAGCCAAGTGTGTACCCACTCTGCATAGAGACATGTAAGTAAGATCATTGAGACGACAAACTGTTGACAGCAACCATTGAGTAAATTGTAATTAAATTAGTTTAGCTAAACCAAGAAAATGAATCTGGTTGATTAAAAGCCTATTGTTGATCTTTCGCTTGTGTGAGTGTGTGGGTTGAGTAGAAGCGCACATGGGAAATTATTAACCTGCATGTAATAGTAAAATAGGTTTCCGCTCTGTTGAGCAAAGTAACGCTTCTCCACTAATGGAAATTGACTTGGAGTACACAATGAACGCGTGCATATCAACAAACGACTCAATTTTATCATATCATTACCTACGAGCTTTTTTTACACATTATGAAAATTTGCTTGGTTGAATGTCGAGCAAAGAAATTTTCTTATACGGAAATTCTGTCACGGAATTATTTCGTACATGAGAAAATCTGCAATTTACGTGATACTCCGAGCTACTTAGGATATAGATCGTTTAATTTGTCTGCATGGATATGTCATTGTTTATACATATTTTTCATACGTTTGCCCTGTATTTATTCAGGTATCACTAACTTGAATGTTTTCGAATGTCAGTCATCCGTCGTAATGATTTAAGGAATCAAATAGCTTAAGCTTAATATGTAAGTACGTAAAGGTTAGGTCTAAATGGGGTTGCCCCTCCCTCCAGTAGGTCCCACAGCCTAGGAGACACGTGGACGGATCAAAATGCATATAATGGATGAATTACATCCTTCAAGGAAATCCTTTTCAATGGAGGAAATGTAATTTGCCACCGAATTTGGATATCATGCAAATTTCCCCTGCCTGGAATGAGCTTTTAATACTGATGTAATCTCAAAGGTTCAGGAAGCATAATCTTCTACAATTTCGATGTTGCTCTTCTTGTAAGGCGACCAAAAAAGGTAGAGTAGAGGGAGACCTCAGAAAGAGGAAAGTCAATGCCACCTTCAAATCTCTTTAATACGAAAAGTTCCCTGTTATAAAACTCGTTTGAAACCAAATTTCTCTTTCAATGCATGTTAATCAATATAATCTTCGCTATCATATTGTTAAGGCTGCTGCTCGAGTTGATTAAAAGTAGCGATTTTCTTGATATTGATTTCCATATTTTCACGTGACATATGGCATCACGAGGTATTTGACACATCATTTTCCTACCTTGTACATAAAGGCATCCCACAAAGTATGGTTTTTCACTCTCCAAAAATAATCACGCCACCCTGTTCAAATGTCTGTATTTGTATAAAAATGCGTAATAGTTACAGACAGCGGTTCAATAACAAAGTAATAACTGCATGGTCGCATCTGTGACAAGATTGGGAGGACAGATGGGCCTATTTTCTAATACTACACTTACTTTCTACTTACTACAGATTCATGTAAGGGCTACGTTACTAGTAAAAAAAACTCTTGTGCAACAATGTACAAATATAACTTTGGCTAAGGTCACCTCGTGCGGAATTCACGAGAAACGAGTGCATAGCTTGGATGAATATGCATATGTGCCACACATAAATCCACACAAATTGATTCTGACCAGTTGATCTCATATTAACAGAGTTGTCCAAGTTAGAGAGAGAAGAGGGACGATTTACCAGAGTGGAATGGAGTTTGGAAATTTCTTGGGCAGTGTCCACGGGAACTTTGTCCATTCGAGCTTTCTCCAAATGGATGAGTCTTGATCGAAGTTGGTTAATGATCATCTCCTTCAGCCGAGTCTCCTCCGCCAAACGGCTCTCCTCGTTATTGTTCACATCCAACATTCCCGTCGTCCCTTCACCTTCTCTCTCGCCAAACATGTCGTCCTCTTCCAACTGAAATAAGGACACAGAACTCTGATCCACAGATCATTCATGTGCAGCAGGATATTTGCATATGCATACGATTTACATATTTTGAACTAGGAAATCGTTACCAAAGTAAGAAAAAGACCAATCTGCGTTTTTTTACCCCCGGAAAAATTCTTCACTAATCCTTCACCAGTATGCCTACTCATAAATATGTAGGAAACGTGCTGGCTAAGGAATTTGCGACTTTTTCACGTGCTCAAGAGGTAGATAGCATTTAGTGGCAAACTGTGTTTTCGAGTAAAATAATGAATTCATACAGAGAAACCGTGGTGCTAGATAAATAATTTCCTGTGTTGCCTGGGTCGTCGTCGTCGTCCTCGTTGGCGGAGGAGCTTGTATTTCACTTGAACGAAGAAATGGCCCAGTGTCAGTTATGACATCAAATTAATTGGAGAATTCTGATTCTAATTCTGCAACTACACAATCCATCCCATTACCAAGAACAACATTGCTCAACTCGCAGATTTATGACCATGACTGAAATCTCTTATGATTGGTGAGGAGTGGAATTTACAGAATGAATGGATACTCGTTTGTCAAAGTCCTGTAGTCACGTCTGTGTATTCCCAGGAAGGATTGCAACTCTCTTCGCAATGAAATGCATATGTACAGGTGTAGAAGAAGATAAGCAAGTTGTGGCTGTGGCAAGTTCTTACAATTTGCGTGATAAGAGAGGTGCTGTACAAATTTGAGTTAGTCAGTCTTACAGCAATTACGTTTTTGCATGTATGCAGTTCTACTTAATTGAAAACGGAAATTGGGTTTGTTTAAAATCTCTTACTTCGCCATGCATCCGTGAAAATAGGAGGCTCGTGCTGAGCCCTTCTCCAGAGTCAAACTCGTCTCTGAGCACTTCGTACTTTTTGTGCAGTTGGGTCAGCTCTCGACGCGTTTCTCGGTGAGCACATCGTTCCAAGTGCAGCATGGCCAAAGCATCCAAGGGACTCCTCCCATTGATTTGGAAATTGCAGTTCGCCACTCGCCCCACATTGTTGTTGAGAGGGTCCATAAGATCATCATTTATCATAATCTCACTGCTCGTCCCGTCAAGAGAATCCGGCTCGCCGGAGTAAATGTTCTCTGTTAAAGTTACATAAGACAGATTAGAAAAGTGACATAAATGCATGTATGAACTCATCAATTAATATTACATAATTCTTACAAAAAATTTGGTCTATTTTAAACATCTTTTTGACGATACAAAAAATTTCATAGTTTTCGATTCTTTCCATCAATTAAGTGTACAAAACAATACATTGATTTATTTATTTATTGCAAAAAACTGATACGCTACCACATCTAATGATTCGCAAGAAAGCTAAATTGGATTGGTTTCAAATAAGATTCATACTCGAGTAGGACAGTCGAGGAAGCAGAACTGATTAAAGTGCATTACGTACGTACAACCATTTCCTTGAGAAAATGCGTTTATGTTCTATTTGCGTACCTGATAAGTTGAAGATTGTTTAAATATTTTTACTCATTCGCAGATACACACTTTGTTTTGCAATTTGCTTCTTTTACTTACGTTATGCAACGTTAGTGTGTGTCATGATGAAACAATTAAGTATGATTTAACTGACCAGACAGAGTACGCATCAATTTGGTCATGTCTTCATTTGTAAATGCAAGTATTATTTTTGTCCTGTATTCATTTCATCTTTTAGGATTTGCTCTATTACTAGTACTCCACTTTTCTACTTGCTCCAATATTCCCTATTATCCGCAATATTCGCAGATTGTTGTGTGTCCGTAGCACGCGTACATAAATAGATTACTTATTCAAAAGCCCTCCTGTTTCTCACAAAAGCCTACAAACTCATCCCCATTGTTGAAAATACTTCGAATTAAAGACCAATATTTAAATGTCTGCAGAGCGAAGCAAATATTTAACGAGTCCATTGTGGCGGATGAAAGTGATGCATGAATGCAAACGCTGTTGTGGTAGGAGCACTCGCTCCTACCACAACAGCGACGCAATAATATCGTAAAATAAGTGATGTAGAACCACCCATAAAAACACGTGAAGGAAAATCTTGTCTACCACTGCATAAGTTTAATTCAATTGAAAAATGAATTGCTGGGATCCCATTTAAAATTAATTTCAAGTTTCGGAAATTTGGTTCGCCACGGTTAGAAAGTTCTTCTCATTGTACGGAGAAGAAGAAGAACAACAACCTCAGAATATAATTGGGGACTCGTTCACAAACAAAGTTTGAAAATCAATTTCAAGTTGATAATCAACAGAAATTAATGTTATAGAGGAATAAGTATGTACATCAATCAGAGTGATATTGAGGTTTTCATCCACATCGCAGTCGAAACCACATACACGGCGAAACCGAGAAACTGGTCATGTTCGAATATTATGAGCTGCTTCCTATGTTTCATGTTGTACCCAAAATCACGAAATGCGAGGATGAGGAAGAACATTATCTGTATCCGTTTAATTCATGAACCGCAACCGTTCAGCTAAGAGGCAGTCTTTTGACTCGAACAATTAACACGGAACCGACCCAGTGCACTCGGGATCAGTGAAGTCAACCTCTGCTCATAATAATGCCGGTGTTCGTCACGCTGGTTGCGTTGACGTTGCTAATTAAATATTTCTCGCCCGAGTTAATGTATTATTTGCACCCTAGTGTACACACAATGTGAGGAGGTGGTGTATGTAGGTGGGTATTCTCTACGCTAAAGGTTAGTGGGTGGACATACCTAGATTCTTAGTAAATACGTAGTAGTAATTTAGCTGAAGACTTACAGTTTCAAAAGAACGAGTGATTGCTGCGATCCGTGAAACATTTTCCGAACAGATTGGTCACTTTTGGCTAATTTTAGACCCAGCTTCTATCCAGATGAAATCAATAATTCCGATTTTGACATCATCCAGCCAATAAGGCGGCGATTTTATCAAAACTTTCAGCTCAACGAGTATGAATATATTTCTATGGGGGTTTAACACAGTGTTACTTTTCACGAGAAAAAAAATGGAATCGAGTCCACTTGGAAAACCATTTGGCTTGACTGAAATGTAGATCAGTCAACAAAATCCTCAAAGGATACGATACGATACGATGACAGTATCTGCCTAGCAGCGTTGTTGGATTGTTGAAGAGTCTGCTGTGGATTTGCATTATTGTGAATAGGCAGTCTATCAATGCATGCCTACGGTCGTTGACAATTTGTCGGGGACCTAAAGCTTCACACGATACACGTACATACAATCTTCACAAGAATGGCACTCGATGAGAATTGTTAGGAAATCGCAACTCATGTTTGCTCACGTAGAAACTTTTATCTCTTCCAATATTATATTTGTGACATTGAGCTTGTATCATATTTTTTAGCGAAAAATATATATAACAGATTTTATGTATTTGCAATGGTGGATTTTCCAATACTTTTCCACTAAACGCTACGCACCACCGCATCTCCTGATTGAATTGCAATATTACATCGTGGGGGCGAAGGAGAAGTTATGACATCTGCAGAAATCTATGATATCCGGCTGTAAGTGTCATCGTATCTCAAATACTTTCTGACGCGTATCCCCCCCAACCAATTCTTTGTTCTGTACATGTGCACATAGATAAATAAACACCACTCTCTTCAGTCACTCACTACTTTTAGGTGACATCTTCCACGTTTTGTTCCATTATATTTTTGAAAATAAAAAAACACAAAAGTAATTGCCGTGCTAAAGAGGACTTTTTTAGTTAAAAGTAAAGGGATGACAACTTTGTAATGTGAACTTGTTAAAAAATTGCCCCGGCTGACTGAGTTTACTTAACGCCCCGATTGCGATTGATCATTTGCTACAAATTGTCTCAAATGTAAAAGTTTCTCAAGAAATCTCACCAAACTTTTGACACTTTTAATCAAAGGACGACATTCGATCTTTCCGTGACAAATGATGTGAAAATTTTCATGTTTTAGCATAAACTTACCGGTTGGTGGGAGAGCTTGGTCCACATTGCTTAAGACATCAATTTGTCTCTCCAGAGTGACGCACATCATATCCAAATGCTTCATTTGCGCGGTCAGCGACTGCTGCTGAGCGATGGGAGTTGTGTCTGACCTGGATTGCATATACAAAAAATTAGTGTAAAAATATTGAATGGGTTTAAAACTAGGATATCAGTCAACTGGAAGGAAGAACAGTATTGGTTTCGTGATAATTGTTCTTTTTTTGATCAGGAAGCAAACAAAATTACGTGAAATGCGTGTCACTATGAATAAGAGAGTTCAAAAACACTTGATGCGTGGCGTGGCAATGACATGACGCAATTGTTCTTTGTTAATACTTATGAATTTGTAAAATTTACGTCACGCTAACAACTACGTCCCTTTGGTTGGCTTGAGACTGTAAAAGGTTAGAGTCACACTATGGAATTATTTAGAAACGTTAACATAGCAAAAATCTGAGCGACTGTCAAACCATTTTAAGTAAAATCAACACGTAAAACACAATTATTTTATGGTAATGAACATAATTCTTGCATTCAGCAAAACAAATTAAGTTGCAGGCGAGCAGGTTGAAATTAGCATGATAAATTTCTATAGGTGTCGAATAATTCAACTTATTTTGAAGAATCATTCCACAAAATTAATCCTAGCAGCTAATAAGCTCATCACTCAGGGTGAGAGTGAAAATGTGTGATGAAGTGGTAAATATTTCATAATTAGTACTTGTAATACTTGATGAATACAATGCATTAAATTACGTATATTTATTTGAGAATAGCCACAAACCTATGAAATATGGCACGGGGACGCCGAAAGTCTAAAGTTTTCATGGTCACTTCCCTCACGGGCTTGGGACACGATAAATCTCGTTAACAAAGCACTGAGGTTCACATTTTAAGTGTTTCATAAAACAGCTTAAAATACACTGATAAAACTTTACGTTTTTCGAAAACTTATCCGAATTATGAAATTTCACCTTGCATTTAAGACATTTCACGTTTTCTTATCAAAACACGCACAAATCAACTGGCCAAAATTCATACTTTCTTACTCACTGCCTGAATTTATTAAAAAACGACACTCAGTAAATGATGCGATAACTGCGAGAAGTACAATGAGCGAAATAACAAAAATACTGAAAATATTTAATCCAATTCAAACTTGAGTGAGACTTTGGGGACCATGTGTTTCCTTACAAGCGGAGCATAAAATGATACACTTTAGCGGAACAAGGTAAAGGAAGATGCAGGCTGCATTATTTTAGTTAACGTAACAAAAATGCGTGGACGCTTATACGAGTAATAACTGCTTCGGTCTATATATGTAATAGTCGGGTGGCAGGAACTCCTTCGCTATATGACACGTAAGTAAAGCAGTTTGCCATTAAACCCCGAAATTTTCGACTAATGTGCCTTATTATTTTGCTGTAACTGAAGAGTCTCCCTCGGAAAAATGTGTGGTAGTGTAGCAGTAGTTGAGGAGGATATCAATTCATTGAAATCAGTTCACTTCTGCAAATAAAGTGTAAAAAGCTGTGAGAAGGCCATGAGAGCGGAACAATTCAGAACCGCAAGATTCTAATGTTTCAGTCTCAAAAATCCAACATTTGCACGTTTAACCGTATTTTGCACTATTGGTATCAGTGACTGAACCGTGATTCTGTGGAGTAGAACCACCGCAACGTTGCAGTTTCAGCAGTATTATTACCGTCTTGAAACACTAGACAAAAAAGTCTTGAATACCCGCCACAACAATTAGAAGCGTGAGGAGTCGTCGTATTTATTTACAGTCACAAACAAAACAACCACTAACACAGTTTGTTTCGAGCTATTGAACTTGTTTTTAGTTTTATACTTAATTAACTCATTCCTCCCTCACGCACAATTACCAAAACCGTAAATCTAATTAATTCGACAAACTCTTGAGAACTCAAATGAAATGTCAACTTCTCGAATGAGGTGGTTGGAAGACATTGGCTGGTAAATAAACATCTCAGAAACTATGTAGGCAAAAGATCCACGAGTAATTGGAAACCATGTTTAATTGGAATTTAAACAATAGACACAGAAACAATGCTTTCTAGCTCAAATCAAAAACTATATTAAGAAGAATTATTATTATTACTGATATCCTGCTCTGAGCAACGTAACGACTTCAAAAAGAGGTATGTACGTATGTGCAGTTTGGCGTTGTGGACAACAATGAAATGTTGTCGTGTCACTGAAGGAGTCAGTAGTTTGCAGATTTGTGTTTGTTTGATATGGATGGATGCTGATTATTCGATGTTTTTTGTACTCTTGAGCCTCTAGAACATACATATTATTGCTAACGTGAGGAGTTGTGATTATTCCTCTGAAATGAGATTTGGGTGATATTAACATTGATAAGATGGTTGCAGTTGGAAGAAGACAAAAGGCAGCGCTTTTCTATTATTCATATGTTGTCATTGTCATTGAATCTTAATGCTACCTACGACCATGCAAATTACCGTAAGATTCGTTTTCATTCTCTAAATTACTTTATCATCCCTCCCAAAAGTCTCAACTTTAACTCCACCAAAAAGATTTCGCCTCGCCGAGTTCCTCTAATTATACCAAAGCTCTTTTTTGTCAAAGCAGTAAAATCAGAAGGGTTTGGATGAAAGGAAATTAGCTGAACTGCTGAGGAATGAAAAATGGCCTTGGATATATGGAAGTTGGAAGCAGCATTGATTTGCAGAGTACTCAAGATGATGAATCAAACAAGGTTTGGCTGCGAACACGTGGATAATAACGGCTTTAATCTTTACAGGAATATCTCCGCCGCAAAAATATTTCGAAATTATTACTGTATCAACTTATTCACTTAAAAACTTGTTATTACCCATATCCATCTATCTATCTGCTTAATGATTTAAAGTGTCGTCTTCCCATTCATCAGCTCTTTTTATCGCATATTACTTGTACCACCACCATTATGTGCTCGGCACCCTCTTATTACTGCATACGAATGTATTTCCTAATCCGATCCTATGTGCGTCAAAGGAAGTTGAAAAAATTACTCAAGTGATGCTGCAATCCTTACAAATTTCTACAATCTTGACATTGTCACGATGAAGATAATTTCGAGTCGTTGATTAAAAGGACCAAATTTCACAATTTGTTTCATTTCATATTTTGACACTGAACGGATGACTGATGAATGGCAAAGAGCTCGGAAAACTTTTTGTATAGCTTCTCTCTGCCCAGAATCTCTCGTTGTTTCCTTTTTGGTAGGAAATGCATTTTATTCTTCACATCCATGAACCATCGGAATTATGTGTGCCAAGCACAGCAATATCGCCACCTTAAATACAGCCACATCCTTTCCATAACACATATATTTGCAGATTAAGACATAAAATACGATAATCGCTACACAATGCAATAAAAATTCAGAAACAATATACACATTTACAGCGTTACATGTGCATAAATATCAACAGGACCTACCCAAAAACGATGATAATTGTAATTATATATTTCAACATGTCGATACACAGTCTTATTAAACATTGTGGAAGGGTGAACCATTGATAAGCTCGTATAAATATAGCAACGGTTAACGGCTTCGTATGCACAGTTTGTTACAAACGTAGCACATGTCCCAAAAGGTAGGATATTATATTATTAAACGCGTGCCAGCCTGAAAACTGTACAAGTAATTTTCACATTGGCACATTAACGTAGAACATTATTGTTATAAGGTCCGAAACTGTGTTAGCAGAACTTTGACGCGGGTTCAAGTAGAGAAAAATACCTACACGCTCTCTGGTCACCATTAAAGCAGTACTTCGTGTTCATTTTCCATGGTTCAGTGCCTCCTCTAAAAGTCTCAATGCTCTGGCCCAGACTAAACAAACGTTAATTTTATCAGCAGTAAAAAATAGATTATCAATGAGATCCGTCGTAACAATCCAATTTATAATGATTGTTCTTTTTAGAAATTTGTTCATCTCCTCCGCCCAAAACGACTCTTTTTTTCCATATTATTGCAAAAATGAGGAGCGAGTTTAGTCTACCAAAAGCTTGTATGCATACATACATCGTAATTCATGTACATACATATTATTCCTACTCAATTATAATCCTGTGAGGACGAAGTTGTCAAATTTTTCCTACTCGTTTCTGGTCGTGATTAAAGAATCGTGTTTAAGCAAATCAAACACACTTTCTACATTATTATTCCACATTACCTTAATTAAGGAGTTTATGACTTAATATTTTTATCACTCCATACGCGATGATAATATAAATGCGTATTTACTTGTAAACCTTCGTTAAGATATAGGACACGAAATCATAATAGCTCTTGACCCAGTCTGTCTTTTAATATGAATTGCTGCCGTTGATGAGCATTTTACAAGTGGTGCATTCGTGATGAAGATAAATAGTAAAGAAGGCCCTATTTACAATAATCCTGATAAGAAGGAGTGCTTTTTTAAAGGCTGACACGAGTGGGTGGTCTGATATAAATGATCGCAACGGCGTAAAAAAAATGCATAAAAAATACAAGCAAGTAATTGAAATTAAACGAACCCCAGATTATTCGAATGGGATTTGAGACTGTCACGGACTAGATTTCGTTCCAACCGATACGCTGTCAACTTGTCGATGAGTTTTTCCCTTTCTCGGATCAAACTCTCTTTGACGAGGACGACATGAGGTTTTCGAAGGAGATTGATAATGAAGGCGTACTTTTGATGCCATTCTTCCTCCCCAAGGTTGCCTCCGTGACTGCTGCTACTCATGTTGCCGGCCGTGTTGTGGATTTTTTGCTCATTATTTACTTTGGAAATGAAGAAGGGCCGACCTCTCTCAATCTCGTGTGAGTTAATCACTTTCACTGGAGAAGAGCAGAACCGATGTGGATGGACATCCTTCTTCCGAGCTCCCATCAACTCGTATTACGCAACAGGAGAGAAGCACAAAATTTATTGTGGAAACTTTCCCCAACTTTGACTATTATTCTTGTATTTTATTTCTTCTTATGAACCAATTTCTTCTTGCAGCTTCATAATAATTAAGGGTCTTGTGCATGAGAAACCTTGAGTATTTTTTTACGAAATATAGCTATTTTTGTACTAACCATCATTCTTAACTTGCTCGTTTAAACACGCTAAATTATTGACTACAAAAAGGAGCAAATGGTCTCGCAATTTTTAATTCCGGCACGTTACGAATGTATTTCTGCCTCACAAACAAACAATTACTATTGTTTCGACACATTAACTGTTACAACAATGCAGAAAGACATGTTTTGCCCACAGATAAAAACAAAGTAGTAGCATCACTGCAATTTAAGGTGACCACACCACACCACCAAGCGTAATCCCGTGCACGCATATTTGTACTCCAAGTAATTACTCATTTCACTGGCATGACCACAAATTGTTGGAAAATAAGTTATTATTTTCTGTCCTTTACAAAGTGAGAAACCAGGTTTGTTTGGCAGCGTTTGTTTGGATAATGTATTCTCTTGTTTAGTGGTTATTTTTTCGTTCCAAGTTTGAAGAAATGGTATCACAAAAACTTTTTAAATTTGGTAAACATCACTTTTTTCAACTCTTTTTCTTCTTCTTCGCCGACTTTCTGATGCACTGCCACACCTCGCATTTGCTAGATTATAAATGTGGATTTTATTTGAAACAATGGTGTCATTATTCATTCATGTTTTATGAATGTTAAGCTTTCAGATTGCAAGTAAGTAAAGTAAGTAAGTATTTCTCTCCTCAGATTAGTTCGGCTTTGTTTTTCTGCTCTTCTTAATATTATGAAGTGCTTAGGATTATGTATATCCCCCGTTGGAGAGTCCGTTCTGGGCATTGTTAGCCATCACACAATCATAATAATAGTGTTGCCCATTATGCGTGTGTATTGGACCAGGCAGGCAGGAGATCAGTCAACATTCTTGCCAACTAACCAAGAAAACCATTGAGTCCGTCTCGTGTGAACTAAGTCACTCTGTCACCAGATCAGTAGAAGAAGAGGCAAAATAAGACACTGTTTCGTCACAGCCGTGAAAACACGATGACTCGCTTTAAATTAAGGCAAGACAACTTTTGAGCACAATCCGTGAAGATGAGACTGTGAGGAACTTGTTGATTCTCACTCTCACCCTTCGACAACAACAACAACACGGCCGACTAAAAGCCAACTTAGCGACTTATTCATTCAATTCTGAAATATCGAGTTTCACTTGATCCCATCATCTTCATCCCAATTAAACGACTTATTTAAAAAGTTTTCTGTATTACGACACGCCAAAAACTTTAACAGATTATCAACAATTATCAATTATCTACAAAAATCACTCAGAATTTGTTCCTCACTTCACACAATAAGATCCGTAGTGACATATTATTTTTTAGATTTCGAATCAGAAGAAGAGGAAAGTTGTTTATTTATTTCGCTCTATATTTGACGCTATTAGTTAGAGATTTGAAGCCTCACCAGAAACCTTGCATGCAGAGAGAGAGACTTAATCCCGATGAGCTCAAAGATTGGATTGGTATTATTTTATATTGCTTACCTTGATAAGCTTAATAAAACTCTTTGCAAAACTCCTGTAACCTGTAATCCTCAATATTATTAGAAATTATCAGAATAACCTCACCACTTTGGCTTCACAAAGTGTATCCTCACTTCACTACCACCTTTGCGCAAATTTATTTGTGCGTAGGGACGTGTGTGCACGATGAGTAACAACACTATCAAATCGCCTCGGCTACATGTATGTTAAAGCAAAACGGTTTATCACCCAGGCATCAAGTGCAAGGGAGCAAGTTGATATAGGTAAAGGCTAATAAATGTTGTAAAAAAGGTGTATAAATCCAAATCTATACAGAAATATGCACCCTTGCCTTCCTTCTAATAATGAGGGTTGGATTTCAATCAATACTTAATTGCGAGGAAGTTTACACAGGGAAGGAAGGAAAGTAATCTGCTGTATGCCACCACAATAATGGAATTGCATTCAACTGACTGAGCCCGTTATGGTTTGGGTGGAAATTTTTATTAAATAAAGCAAAGTCGCAAATTATGAAATCTGCACCAGATTAGCCACCAACCACGAAGAGGTGTAACAGAATAGGAATGGAAAATCTTGAGGATGGGGTGTGCAAATGTCTTGTGGCCTTTTCAAAGATACATACATACGATTTTTAATTTACAAATGATGAAAAATGAATCTCTTAAGAATGATTAGTCTCTATTTTTCACCGTGTAAAATGTATGCATGTTCCTCACCACGATTTGGTTTTAATGGTATGATGATGGCAGTTACTTATCCTTAGTTTAATACAATAACGTTAATGATTGCAATGTTAGTGGTGGCGTATCATATTCCCTTGCTTTGCTTTCACTCAAACTAAACAGCCAATTCTCCTCAACCAAATGGTTTCTGGTGCCTTCATATTGACACATGTATCAGTGGCATCAGTGCTTTAGTTTGGGCTGCTAAATACTAAATGCACCACTCCTGTGCTCTATGCTACATTAATCTTTCTGCATCTGAACAAAGCAAAATCATTAAGTCAGCAAAATCATAACCACACCGTTACAGTGCATCAGCAACCGCACCACCAAGTCCACCACCCTTGAGTTCAATTTCTTCACTTAATTCACATTTGTGATGATTGGTTTGTGAGTAATTTTAGAAATTTATTTTATTTTACATGAGTAAATATAAACAATGAACTGCTAACTGGGTGATAATTTTATCTTATCATGTCAAATCGTATAGCAAGTTGAGTTTCTATACTAAGTATTTATCTGTGCACACAAATGCAACTTAATAATGATGCTAAAGTTATTTAAAATGCTTAATTCGCCATAACGGAAATGTGTGGAATGATTGGTTACATCGTTGGTATTTTTCTTGTAAATTCAACATGTTCTAAAAAAAATCATGGAGTAAGTCTTTTGTCGTTAAGAGGGGACATTTTTTAAAAATTAAGTCCATGAGATTTATGTCTTTGGATCTTTAATCCCCAAAATCTCACACCCATAAATTTAAAAATCCTCAATTTGTCTCTTACCTTAAAATTTCTAATAATTCTTTCTGTAAGTATGCGTTTATTTTATCTAAATTTTAATTTTTCAGTTCGACTACTCGGTTATTATCAAATTCAACCGAGTAATCAGCTAGGACAATCAGAGTGAAATTATGCACTATGAATTAAGCTTAATTTACAGCAAATTTTTTAAATATCCATATTTCCAAGTTTTGAACCATGCCGTCTCACTTTTAGAAAAAAGTTGTTTCATAATCACCTAAAAATCAATGTGGAACTAATTCTATGAGAATGAAGTCTCTTCATCCATAATTCAACTAGAACGTAAAGAGATTCGAAATATATATTTATCCTCTAAAGTCACTGACTGGAGAAAAGAAGTGGATGACTTTCAACATCGTGATTGGCATGTAAAATAATTTGATTTCGATGCTGCAGCAAAGATGAAATGTCAAACGGACTTTTTTATTTCGAGTTACACGTGGAGAGAGTAAATCTTCAATTTGAAATAAGTATGGCCGAACGTATCTTGTGATCTTGACAACTTTTTCTTGCAACAATAATTTTCCTGAAAAGATGAAAGGAAATAGTGATCCCCTGAATTAGTAACGGCTTCTTCAACTTTTCGGTTTGTCGGTCAACGAGTTCCTTCCTTCCGATATGGATGGATAATGATGATGATGATGATGAAATAGGTGAATATGAGAAAAGACGACCTTTTGCCGTATATATTTTTTTTTACTTTTTTAATAAAGCTCGGCGAATCAAAACCCTCCGTCCGACGATAATGCTCCACGTACTGGCTTAACCTTTAAGCCTTTCTTGTTACAAAAATAGGAAATAGATGACCAGGTTCAGGTTTTTCAGTTATACTTGAGCAACCTCTTTCCTCTTTGAGAATAAGGAGATCTACTCGACCATAAAAATACAGGATTCATGCATCTTTTTTTTAGAGAAGCTGCACTTGTTTAACTTATTTGATTGAACGAATGCATCGCATTGCTCACCTAGTTTTAGAAATCCACTCAGCAAGGGATTCAATCAAATAATTCCACGTTTATCACATTGTTATAGCTGCAACCTTTCTGCCATATACTTGCTTAAATGGTGTATTATTGCTCAGCCAGCAATAAGGTGGGTGCATCCAACGAAGAATCGCAACAATTCACCTGTTCACCTTTCTCAGTCAGTAGAACAAGGATAGAGAGAAAGTAAGTCGTGCTAAAAAAAAGACAATGCGGAAGAATTTAGAAAAATTCACCCTGCTTTTATTACCATTTCGTAGACTTATGACTGCCATGACTCGAGTCACCCAATTTTATCTAACTGTGCTTTTTTATTCCAAGTTAGGATTTTAGTCCGAGTTGAGAATCTGGTCGTGGTGGTCGAGTCGTGAGAATTTTCTACCCGCACTCTCTTTCCGTGGAGATGGAGAAAGTTAGTCATGGAAATCTGGGAATGAAAGCATTTCATGAGGACAGAGGGCTCCGATGCAGTTCTGGATGCTTTCTCTGCTCTCGAGCAGAAAACGACGGGGAAAATGCACATCTTTGTGAGAAATCATTGTACTAAGGAGGAGAGACCCTCCACATGCCCCTCTCAGATCTTGATGCCTTTAGCATATATGGTAGCCCTAGGCGGATGTATCATAACCCTAGAGTGGTTTGATGCCATGGCCACATTTGCGCCCGCCACACCCCCTCAAAGGGATGAAAGCCGCAAAAATTACCAACTTAAAAAATCCGCTAAAAATCCATTTTTGCTCGGATTTTGATAAAATTTACATTTTTTGATCCCAGATACTTGTGTGATCATATCCAGTAGATATCTCAACTTTTTTGAAATTTTGAATTTTTTCAAATAATTCATCAGATGTCGTAAATCCAATTTTTAAAATCCAATTTTCATCCGATTTTGATCATTTTTGGATTTTCCTGATCTCAGATTAGCTCATTTATCATATCGCATATGAAGCTATTTTTTTTATCGAAAATATTTATATAGTTTTCGAAAATATCGTCTTCGAAAAAATCAACATTTCAAAAAAGCTGAGTTTGATAATAAAGCACAAACCAACTATCTAGACAAGAAAATATGTATGAAAATTTTCTAAATCTATCAAAATTTGGTTTTTCGTGACGGTTTGAACGGGGAAAAACACAACTTTTTTCGTGTTTTTCGAGCCTTTGAGTGGGTGTGGCGGGCACAAATGGGGTCCTAGACTACAAATCAGTTGAGGATCTTACTATATTCATCCGGTAACTATTAATACAACATGTTCAAAGGGCATCAAAATCGGGTACATTGATAATCTCACCTCTTCAGAGAAATTGAAATGCGGAAAATTAAATAATAAATATCTAATCTAGCAGATGTATTTATGCATTCGATAAAGAAAAGGATGATTCGTAGTAAAATTCAAAATTTATTTTTCACATTTAAAATACAATACTACAATCCCGGTTTTAATTATTGTTTACATATATTACAGTGGTAATAATTCGTATCCCATGTAGTAGCTTATCGTCGCTTAACTTATCTCTCGCATCGCATATACATATTATCTGACTAGATCAGGTAAACAAGTACATAAATAAAATAGTACAGTAATATTCATCAAACGATAAGTACGTAAGTTCATTGCTTCGTTTACACGCATGCAAAATCTAATCTCCCCAAACTCTTCGTACATAATTGCTGAATTAAATAGTAATAGAGAATTTAATAACAAGATATCTCACATGAATATATTTGTTTACTAAGCACGACTTGTAGTACTATCGTAATTACCAAGAAGTACAACATGCTGACGTGATATTAATAATAAAATTAAGTACGATACAAGAACACAGAAAAATATGTTTACTCTTCATCAACAATTTATATACTATTTTAATAAACAGATAAGCTAACTACTAGACATTCAAGATTTACACATATTTTTTGTTTGATACTTTGCAGAGTGAGCACAATATAGATAACAGAGAGATACATACATATTAAGACACGCTGCATTATAAAGCGTGCATTTTTTTTAAAACATTCATATTTATGTAACTATTTTTTTATGTATAATGATTAATTAATTAAAAGGTACTGAATGCGATTAGAAGATTTGAATTCAGAGTGGTGTGGCCATTTTTGATCGCTTGCTTGATGAGGGTCTAGTCAGGTATTTTGAATTCACTTTCACAATTGATTTCTAAACTAGGAAAAGATTCATTAAAATTTTACGAGACGAGACAAAGTACAAGTACAACATCGAATAAGTTTGAAACAATGAGTAACAGGTAAATATATTAAGAATGTATTACACATTATTCGATATATATGTTGTAGAAAATGACATTTTACTACCAACAGCAGCACCAATCAATCATATCATAGGCTTGGGGACGGAGGAGGAAAGATCTGACCTCAACATTTACATAATAATTTCTTTTGGAGCAGTACATAGATGAGATCCACAAATGTGAACAATTTGTTCAGGGTAACATCAACATGTAAACCGTACAAGTTTTTCAAAAATACTAGAAAATACATTCCAACTCACACAACAGCACCGTTCAGTGTGAACGTTGCAGTCGAATTACTTTTTTTTATTAAGGGAAAATGATGTACATGGTCAAATTCCAATTGTGTATGTGCATTTATATCAAATTGCTCTTTCAAACCAAGTAAATACAATCACGTAATAATCATGTGAGAACATCTTCAGAAACATATTTTTCTCCGCCAGCACGAAATTCAGACGTGATCCGTGGTCTTGTTGAAGGTGGGTGTGTACAGGGAGCGGTTTCGAGTCAGTCGCACCGAGTCGTTGCGCTGAGAGTGTGAAGCCGAGTGTCGATTCGAGTCGCAATGACAGCCAAAGACGTGACAAAACGCTATTCTGAATCCGCGCGACATGACGCACAACGTGATGGGGTTGCAGCAACAAGAAATGTATGCAAGCAGTTGAATCAGACTAACTCCCACGTGTCCTATCATATCGTAAAGCTCGGTTGGACTGAACAAGTACCACGTGTTCTGAAACAGGTCAAACAAGAACAAGTTGTTGTATACATAGAAATATTTAGTTGGGAGGAAGATCATATTATTGTCGTTGGTTAAATTTTTGTCAGTGTTGATGTCATTGTGGTCCATCTGTTGGACATAGTTTTGAAATATAAATAGCCGAAATATGTTTGGAACAAGAGTTTAGCCTGCGTGTGACTGGACTGACAAAGAATCCGGTGTATTATAGTTTTAAATTCCAAAGTGATGTCCGCACATGTAACCAAGTATGTAAGAGGAGTGGTTTGATATTGGACATACCATGACGTAGAGTGGAGCCCAGCAGCAGAAAAATTCCAGAACGATGAATCCGAGCATTTTAATCACTCTTTTCTTCCGCTTTAAGCTCTTTGCTTGGTTGCACCTGCGAAGAACTCCGGCGGGATTGGACGTCTGCACAGCCACGGAGGAAGTATGTCCATAGGCTGAACTTTGGCGATAAAGGTGATTATTCATCTGCTGGCCTTTGGGAATCCCGACGACGCCAGGAGGAGCGGGTGAAATGGGAGACGAGTTGCTGTCTCTCATCGATGTCTCCTGATATCCGCTTTCACCAGAGTTTACGGCATTCGTCGTGGGTACCATGATGGCCAAGGGGGACATTCGAGGGTTTTTCTTCTTGTTCTCCTTCCCACCACCACCACCACCTCCATTACTTCCATCACTGTTGTTTTGACGAGAGCATGAGTCGTGGCGACGGAAGGAGGCCGTGAAAATACTGTTCGAGTTTGGTTTGGAATGTGTGTTGTTAGTATTGTTTGTGACGTTAAGTCGTGGCGAGGCGGCTGGAGTCAAGGACTCGTCCCCGCCACTCGTCGCCAACATGGAGGATTGTTCTGCAAAAGATTAAAGGAAATGAGAAATTATTATACCTTTTCTGTGCAAGTAATCTGTATGCAAGACGATTGAATTTATTTTTTGAAAGGCGCAATTACTGAGAAAATTGAGCAGAGCACTGCTTCAATTCTGGTTTCATTAATCTTGTCAAAAATCCCTTTGCTGTAGCACTGCCCTGCTTTGCTAGCCATACAACTTGAATGTTTTATTGTGCAGGGAAGGAAAAAATGAGAAAGTCTTGTTTCGCTCAGAAGGAAAATTTAGAACAAATTTTTCCTTCTTGGCTGCCATCCGCAGTTGACAATGGAGTAGCCAATTTTATACGCCGACTTGTAACGACTTCATATTTCATTTTAAGTAGATATTCTGGAGAAAAATGACATTGTGTATAATGGAGAATCTTCAAGAGTTTTATTTAGCCACAACTCTTGAGCTTTCCCAACTCGGAAATATATGTTTGGTTTTACACCAAAAATTACATTAGTTCCAGTACAACAAAACGGATAGTTCCTGATCGTTGATTTATGACCGTTTGACTGACAATCTGGGCTATATCCTGCACATCATTACAATCATTTTTCTCCTTATACAACTCTGCTAAAAGTGCACCAATACGTTTTTTTAGTCACGACCAGAAATACCGTCCAGATATATATTTTTACAAGGAAAAGTTCAAATATCAAGGTTGCACGCTCCCTACTATCAGTAATAGTACTTTAACCTTTAAGCTAAGCTACATCATCGCTGCAAAATAGAAATGTGCATTCCAGTTTATGCTCATAAAAAGTCATGATACGGTTATGATCTGTTTGCTGGGTCTGCTCAAATTAGAATCAACACGTTGGGATTTCCTCTCCAAGATATTTTTTCATATTGCATCACGATTTCTGCATGTTCTCTCCGTTTTAAGCGTTGTTCCTGCTCTTCAACTTTCATCAAGTCGAGCTCATGCAACTTGGTTACGTGCTACATGCTTGTGGAAGATCGTAATAATAATAAGAGAGTCTGCTTTATAGCTTTTCCCTTTAGTCTGCTTTTGCTCAAAATCTCAGAATTCCTAAATTTTGCAAATCAGAATGGGAACATTCCCGGAAATCGAGCCAAATGTTATATTAAGTGGACTAGATAGGACAGGATATTAGACTATAAGGTATGCAAAATGAGGTCAGTAGTGCATCCATTATGACATTAAATATGTCATAGTTTAAATAGAGCTTGAAAATCTGACATTTCAATTCAATCGGCAAAATATATATGGAATTCATTCATTGTTGACTTGAAAGCCATAGTGGCGGACATTACTGAGATATTAATTATGATAATTACGCCTTCCTCCTCTCCTGAGTAGGTCCAAACCTATTCATGAATAGAAATGTGCGCTAATTCCTTTGAATCCAGCAGGCGATGATCCTACCACTATCACGCAGAATGAAAGCTTGGCTTTGTGATCATGTCAGTTAATCAGAATACTATTGATGTCAAATCCACAACCTTTCTTTGTGCCAGAGGAAAAAAATTAAGAAAGAACGCCAACAATAAGCAGATCCTTCCATGTACTGAATTGTTCAATTCTTTCGGCAGCTGACGTAGATCTCTATCTTCCATCCATAGCGTTCTGGAATTGTGCATGAGCAGACTTTTTGAATTTATAATTTATTTGCCCTCCACATGCGTACAATTCTTTTCAAGGACACGGTTAAATTCGCAACGACAAAAAAATATAAAGTAGTAGAGAAAGCAAACAATTGTCCTCTTTGTTCGGAAATAGTCTAGTCGAGATCAATGGAAGGGTGCAGCAGACCTTGTGCTGGAAATAGCCAGCGAGTCATTGTCATAACAAAGGAGAGAAGCAGTCATCGTCATTCTACCAAACTCGCCCCCAGTTGCACTTTGAACTGGGTAGAAATTGTCGCTAATGAGCCAATCGGAGATCAAACAAGGAGCCCTGTATGAAGGAACAAACCAATCGGAAATTGGGTAATTCGGACGTGCCAATCCAGTCCGGCATGGATTGAAAAGGGAATTTGCAGCAATTTTGGAAGGTTAATTACTTCAAACAAGTTTTACTACTTTTCACCACCACCGCGATAACCTTGAGGGAAGACAATCAAAAGAAAAGTGGGCAAAGTATAAGGTCTGGACTCCTCATTACAAGCTTAATAGCTTGGAACACGTAGTTGCACGGATTTGTGATGACGACAGCGACGGTAATTGTGCTGCAGGATAAATATATGTGTGTACCATTTAAGAACTGTTCATTGACATTGGAGGCCGGCCAAAGGGTGCGAATGATGACAAGAAAAAACATTGTAGTTAAGAGAAACAAATTTGAAACCGTCCCTGTTGAAGTTAACTATATGATTCCTATACAAAATTGTATTGTTTAAGAAAAATGAGACACAGGCTTTGGATACAGCAAAGATGACAAAAGCAGGTGTTAAGAAAGTTCTTTATGATAAACTTGTATTTCTTGGATTTAAAAATCATGGGGCGTATTAGAACCTGTTTGTTTTTATTGTATTAAAACCTTAAATATGTAAACATATAAAACGTATTAAATGTATTTACCCTGTAATACTACGTCGTGTCCACCCTTGTGTAGAAAGAGATTGATGATACAGCCGTACTTGACAGCCATGATGAGAAGGGGCAACACGAGGAGGATGATGTCCAAGAAGACGGTGTAAGTTTTCTCCAATGCCTCCGTCGGCCACTCTTCTCGACATTTGTGTCTCCCTAATAACAAGAAAGAAAGTTACACAAATGAACTTAATCAGTTTCGCTTCTTAATTACAAGGATCGACATCAAAGCGTCGTACATTCTCTTTCCACTCCACCTCAAATCAAATGTTCCACTAAGCGTGGTTATTAGTAACATTAAAGGATTCGGAATCGACAGAGTTTTGGGATTTGGGCTCCTTCCACGGGAAATTAATAATGAGGCGGAGGGATTAAAGTGCTGGATAAAAGATATCAAACTTTGAACATTACACTCAAAGACGTAGTTTACGACCCCAGCCAAAAACTCTGTGTCCTTCTGAACCCTTTTATTCCTAGAACAGAAGAGAGAGAGAGTTCATTGCAATTCGAGAGTGTGTGCTGCTCGGCATGATATTACTTCTGTAGTTTTTCGCCCTGTTCACATTTCAGCAAATTTGCAATAAACCACCGTTATCAGCCTACCGCCAAGTTCCATTGTGGTGTTGGCATGTGTGAAATGTAATGGTGGTTTAACTCTTGGTATTAGAATACACCCAAGAAATATGAATCTTCTAATACTCACCAGTTTTCCGAATTGGCTGAAGGAGACTCACGAATGCGATGGGTGACATGCAAATCAAACTGGCAGTCCACACGATGGCGATGATTTTGTAAGCATGAGACAGAGTTTGCCACCTTCGGGACGTCAGAGGATGGCAAATGGCGTAGTAGCGTTCCACAGATATGGCCACCAAAGTCCAAGCGCTCACGGCCACGGAGACGGCTGAAAGAAATTATAAGAGGCCTTTTCAGCAAAATTGTGATGATGGTTTTCTAACTTGTAAGAAGATTATTATTGCCGTAGGTATTTGGAAAGTACGACATGAAGCGACTCCCTTTTATTACCAGACACGCTAATAAATTACACTCTGCGCAGATTTCACCCTTCTCTTCGTCCCATGTAAAAATTAAACTGTCAAGTGTTGATTTGGTTGGGGAATTAATTTCACGGAATGAACAAAAATTTAATATTTGAGGAGCAACCAAGTCCTTGCGTGGTCTTTTTAAGGATCTTGTCAATAAAAACCAGCAAGACTGAGGGGATTGCAAATCCACTCAAAATTCAAGTGTGTATAAATAACCTTAAATAAATAACGGGATTGAGGTTTCCAAAAATTCAACTACTTGCTACCCCGTTTCGGAGGCAGGAGTTGCCACGCCGTGTAAAAAAAACAGTATCAATTATGCAGAGTAAAACATTTATATTTCTCAATAATTTTTCCACCTAAAACCCCCGCTCTCGGATCCAATTAAAATGTAGACATAGCCAATTTAGGGAAAAAGGGTGAGGGAAGCTCGAGGCCAAATTAACATTTCACAGTTGAAAATTCAACAACGCCGGAAACATGTGAGACCGACACGCAACAGTTTATTTGAAAACGGGTGTAATCCGTTTGATGTGTTAATACAAGCATGAACATAGGAAATGGCTGCTCTGATAAGTAACTTGATTTAGGAGTTTGTTCTCCACTTAAGCTTTGCAATTAACCTCTACTCCACTTCACAGATTAATGCGAGGCCATTCATATGAGCACAACCCACGCCGTGCTTTCTCCCGTACTTTCACTTCTTTTGGCCAAAACTCTCTCCTTCCTTCCTCCCAACTGAATCTCGTCGCAGGCGTCCAGTACGTACTTAGGTACATTCACGTGTATCGTTCCTGACCCTCAGTCACCAGGACAGAGAGTTTAGTTGCTAATATCATATGGAGTCATCATCCCTCTCAAAGTATTTTCGGTACTTTGCGTGTTTTTGACATATATTTATTCAAAACATCCACTTTTTAAAAATAAGCTTAGGTCTAGAGATTTAGAACATGAAACGACTTGTATTTAGTTCCTGGTTGAATTTATCTCTAAAGTTGATCCTACTGTGGAGATTATTTTGAGTAGAAACTTCGTCGTCATTATGCATGCATATTTATTTTCGTAATTTAATACCTCGTGTCCGCTATCCCTACATGGTCGGGGTGGACCCTAACTGTTCTTAACGTGAGTCAAGTTAACTGCCAGGAGCAATCACTCAGTTAAAAAGTGAGAAGGTCTGGTGAAAGTAGCTTGCTTACAAATTATAACATGTATCTTTGGCATTCAATATTTTGCAATTGTTTGCCCAGCCTGCTCATGCATCGTATCGTGGTGGCTTGATCTACCAGTCGCACGAACAATGAGTGTCATGAACAGCACGCGTAGAGTAGTGTATGGATTAAATAAACGATTTCCAACACGCAAATGAGAGAGCAAAAGGGTGAACTAATTCAAGAAAATCATATTATTTCTCTCCAGACCTACTAATGATTTACGTCCAGTGAGTGAAATTGCTTCGCCGTGAAACACACTAATGCGAATGTCTGTGTATAGGTGCGATTTTCATCAACATTATTGTGTGAATGGGCTGATTAATCATTTCATTTCGCCAAGTCCATCATCGTCCGCAACCTTTCCTAATTTCTAATGTTAAAATCCCATTAGTATTCTCTCAACGAGCCAATTTCCTCTGTTGCACTTAAAACGATCGCCGAACCGACGGCATTAACCTAACAACAGCAGTGGGGGGTGGCAGTTAGGTGGCGGATACAACATATTGACGGGTGGCCAATTCAAGGTATTTACATGGACGAGACGTGGAGAAATATGGAAAATGTTAGCAAAACTGAAATCCGACTTATCGAAGCGGAAGTTATCATGTTGATTTGCATTCCTCAACTTCCTACTTTTATTTTAAGCCTGTAAGATCCCAACCAAAATGGAAGGTGAAATACCTCAAAGAATAAGAAGATGAAGAACGACGAGGGCATAGAGATCAATCCGCTTTGCTTCTTTGTACCATGATACCATCAGCATTACGATCATCACTACAATGCGAATGGTTTTTGCACACAGAGGTTTTTGCAGTGGGGGAAGAAAATGTGAAAATAAGTATAAATGTAGGAGAGAGAAATTACTCAAGAGATTACAATGAGAGTTTCTCGGGATCTTAAATAAACGTTAATCCATCAGTTGGCAGTCTATTTATTTTCGTTTTCTTCTCCTATGACCTTCCGACCACGCAGAATGAGAAGGCAGGAAGAAGGAGGGCGAAATACAGAGCAGATATAAAAGCTTAGCTCTTTACTTTCAGTAGCACGGGGACTAAATAGCGGTACACAAACGGGCGTATTTATATATATACGTACATACATAAGTACGTACCACATTGCGCCTAACGCCAGGTCATAATTTATGTAACACACCAACTTAGCCGTCTTAGACTTAACAATACACAGCTTTCGATTCTCAAAGTTCTCGTCGTCGTCGTCGTCGTCCAGTTGGACAGTGACACATAGGACACGGGGATCGGGCCAGGGTCAGTCCATTAGTCACCGTGTGGAGGCAACATGATATGTACATAGACTTTCCTTCTCTTAATCACGGGACAAGAATTGGGAGAGGTAGAAGAGAGAATTTTTGATGCAGTGCAGTGGTTGGTGCATGGGGAAAATGGGAGCATTACATTAGCAGAATTTATATAAAACCTCCTCCTCGCTGACTGGGTGTCTCAATTCCATTTCGCCATGAAAGCACTACTGCCAGGACATTGTGCAGTACGGGATGATGCGGCGTCCATTAAGAAATTTGAGAGTTGGCGACGACGAACGGCTTTAACTCTCATCAGCTCCGTTCCCACACCTAATTGCTTAAGCCATCTTCTTCCCATTCACCCTGAGGGGTGGAGGAATCACATTTCGCCTAATGTAAAACATGGGCAGTGAATAATTGAAAATGATTCCTTATTTCCTTGCTCTTTGTTTCAATTACGTTTGTATGTACACGTGTGTGTGAATGTAAGTATGTGCTGAGAGAGGCTAAACTCCTACTGGATGCACGGTTTCTCGAAACTTTAGACTTTCAGGCAGAGATCTAAAGTTCCGAAATGATGAGGATAACGAAATTTGGCTGCTATGTACTTTTGAAACGAGCTGTTTGTCATTTGTCCATGGCAAAGCATTATATTCTTGATGACTTCCGTAGACGAATGGCCTGTTGTTGGATGGAAGAATGCATCCGACAATTGTAACATCCAAGGGCGGCTCATGTTATCTTGTTAACTCCAAATTACACTGCTTTCGGCCGCCAAAAACTTGTGCTTGAGCCGTTTAATGGAAGTTATAATTCAACAAGAGTTTCAAAGAACGCATGCAAACGGAGCTCTTCTCCAATCGAGCTCACTCTCACTCTCTCATGAAGAGGGATCCTATTACGTTGCTGAAAAATGGAAAACGGAGTAAAAGGGACGGCCTCAACATCAAATAAAGTACCAATTATGCGCTTGTACGTAGAAATTAAATTATAAGCTAACTTTAATGTTGAACATTTTCTCCAAAAGTGAAATTGAGTACAATATTTCTCCAATCTCAAAGTTCGTCCTTGAAAAATCAGTCGTAAATTTAAAAGAGAAAGAGAACAAATGAAGGAAATTTTACATTACATTATGACAAACACTAGTTGCTACACTCTTTTTTAAGTATGCACGTGCTTTCTCTCACCCCATTATATTCAGTACTTTGTTAACTCAAGGTTACATAAATATCTATGTCTGCAAATGGTTTTCCAACGCGATATATACGCATCTATCCCAGCCAAGTCGCATCACAGGGCAAATTGCAAAATCAGCCGGTTCCTCCCGAAACAAACAAGACATCAAGTTTTTAGAAATTGTAACTCCTCATGTAACCACCTCGAAATGATCAGCGAGCACAATTACATCAGAACTGTGGGCTCCTTTTCACCTAAACTTTTCTCTAGTAACTAACACACCGTTATCATCATCATTGTATAATTCAGTATGCAAACTTTCTCGCGTTTCTTTCCCTCTTAGTTATTTACATTGCTAATGATTATGGTGAACTGGTTTCTTGTGAGGCAACCCAAAGAGGAGAAATCTCGTGTACTTCATTGTTCTCAGCATTGAGTTTGAATGCAAAACTCGAAATCTTGCCATAATCGGTAAGCATGAGTTATCAAAGTGAAGTGCCTTTGAATAGGGAGTAAGGTGCAAACTAATTTGCTTTACATGAAAGAAGAAAGCCACTCCGCCGAGTAAGATACATACTACAAAAGTGCAGATATGTATGTATGCATGTTGTTCAGGAAGGAAGAAAAAGCAGTGTACACCCAGAATAATAAGGAAGGGCGGATATGAAAAAGAAAATTGTTGCAGGAAAACCAGGGGCAAAATTAAGCTTGCCCCGAATGACCGAATTATTATTATGAAGTTAACTTAATCTGCTCACTGTTGTGAGAGTATTAGTGATAAATTCTGAAATAAAAAGTTTCCTCACCACCAACTATAGCCAGCAAACTCTTGTTATTTGTACGACCGAATATGTATCTTTTTCTGCATAATCGCTCTGAACGTGGTAGCACATCCACTAACGAGACGTTTTTTCCTGTGCCAAGTGAAATGAGAAGAACGGGGTGGTGGTGGTGGTGGTGAGATAACAAACCTAACCGACAGACAACAAAGGCTTGTGTCAGTTCTGCACAGTTGAAAACTTTCTTTTGTGAGACCCTTAAAAATACAGCTTGTTTCCCTTCTACTTTGTCCCCAATCACCAACCAACGACTTGCTCAACAATTCATACAGTGCAAGTTCAAATAAAGGTTATTCGAATTAATATGTGGGATGATGAATAGACCGGTTGTAATTTATTATCGCGCACCATAGCAATTTTGCTTCGTCAAG